CACATACGAATGAAAAATTGACTAGTTTTGTGATTTTTGCAGCTCTTTTACGTAAAGCTAAGTTACTTTAGAACTGTTGAAAACCAGTAATTTCTCTATAGTCTCTCTAAAACTACGATGAACGTGCCAAGTTACTGAAGTAAAACAAACTTAAAAGTTGCCACGACAATTAAAAGATTTTGTCGTTAAGAATAACATATTACCGCCTTTTCTTTTTTAGATCCATAGCTTTTATTGAATTTATTTTGTTGGCGTTCTTTTATCCTTCAACGGAATCTTGCAAACCAAATACTGATGGACAGTTTACTAGTCTGGAGTTGGGCAGTGCTTCTAATGTTACCGCTGTAGTTGGCAGTGATATTTACTTTATTTGTTGTGGTGGTTTACGGTGGACATATGAAGTAGAAGATGATTACACAAGTCGAGAGATTGGACCACATCCATATGCTTCTATTGGTTCGAGCAAATCACCACCCGATTTAAATTTTGATGACAACCTGTCTCCAAGTACCAGCAGTAATATGAAAGATTCTACAAACTTACAAAACACAGTACCAACCACAGTATACACGATGCATGATGATAAAGGTCGGTTAATACTACGTATAGATAATGTAGATGTACAAGATATGGGACACTATAAGTGTCATGGTCACACCACAAGTTTAGATGCATATCTAGTGGTGGTCGACAAGAACTATCCCGAAGAACCGCAAAATAAAACATTGCCAAATGTCGGAAGTATGCTACTACACTATATGATGTTCTCGTCGGACCAACTTAATAACGTAAGTGTCCGCCAATTGTGGTGTGAAGTTGATATGGTTGTTCAGAAAATGATTATGCTGCTATATGTGTTATTTCATTTCTCAAAAGATTTAATTTATTACACGAAAAGACTAAAAAGTAACACGCTTCCACCAAATCGTTGTTATATATTATCTCATTCAAAGAATAACAACATGCTTTCTTTGAAGGTTAAACCTTGTGTAGTTTAAATGAAAGATTATCTGACTACATTTTTGTTTATATATATACATATATTATGTGGTAAAATCGTTTGTGTGATAGTTGTTTGCACCTGATCTATATCAGGATGTGTATGTTGACAACTAACGCTTCCTTGCATTACTTAGTATTGTCAGATATATAACGTTCTTATTACCAATACTAATAAATTTAATAAAGTATTTATTGAAAACATAAGTCAGAAAGCTCTCTTAGCTTGTGTTAGCTTGAGTTAATGAGGGGCGTAAGCAACATGTCAGTTTTCCAATCACGTAATGAGTATAGTATCTAACAGTTCTCTTTGTTGCACTCTATGGATATGAAAAATTGTCTTTAAAAAATAAGGGATCTTTCATAGACTGTAAATATTTTATCTCAGTTATTTTCGATTCACTACTCATGTATTGTGAAATCTCCTGGTGACAGATTATGAGTCTAATCACAAAGTATTGTGAAACGACATGAAATCGGCCGAAAGAGTTGCAAATTTTTGTGGGTCAAAGTGATTGGGACGTGTAATACATATTCCCAATCACAGCCTACCTCGACTCATTATATTTCATAGAGCATAAATAAAATAGAAGTGGAGATGGCTAAACCAAGGTATGGGATCAAACTATGAAGTCATCGAATGCTGAATTGAGTTATACTGTACTGTACAGGCTACTTAATTGGAGTCCACACAAAAACCTCTATCCACGGTTGGAGACTTTGGATGTAGCTCAGGACCGGTATTAATGACATAACTGAAATCTCTGTTTGTTTTTTCTTAAATGCACCATTTTTTCTGTACCTAGTTCTTTCTACTAACGCCGATATTGCTTTGAATACTTTGTTGCTCATACTCGGAATTTCACTTTACTACACCAATGCGTTATGGCAACCTAAGTTGGTACATATTTACATGAGATTCTATGTTATTTATCACTATATGACCAACCAACAAACCTAATAATTTAAAAATTCTTACCTGACACTTGACCGTTGAAGATCAGTTGATATGATCGGATGGACACAATTTTTTATAGCCTCCATTTACGATTCCTACTCATGAACTTCATTGATTTTCATGTATTACCACATAACTTCATCTGTAGTTGTTTACTAATTTTTTGACTTTTTAATGGCTAAGAAAACAAACAGATACTAAAGTCCATTAGTTTATTTCAGTACTTTTTTTCAAAATAAGTTAAACAACGATGTTTTTCATACCTTTATTAGTAATGGCATGAGTTATTTCACTTTTTATACACATGAAAGAGTTTTGATTAATCTCAGTTACCGTATGTACGCGTGACGTGGTTATGACCATTTTTGCAGGTTTTCTCTCATGTACTGATTGTGGTTAGCAGTAAAATCCCGGTTGCATTTATTTTGTCTTATTTTAACTTGTCAGAAGAATGTTTCTGTGTCCAACTGCTATAAACTTAATAAAAGATATACAAGTCAGTAACTTTTTTGACTCGATTGGTCAGAGGATGATGCGTTAGTATGCTAAGTGAAAAGTACTGGGTGTGAGTTTCAGTATTTAAACTTCGACACTGAGGTTCAAGTACATTCAGTTGATGGGTCTCAAATTAGACAAAGCACTCATCTTGATTTCTAGCCATTATTCAACCTTAATATTTTGTTTAAACATTAAAAAGTAGTACGTGAATCGAACAAAAATATCGCTATTTTGATATGGTAGAAAAACAATGTAGGTTTATAGCTACATGATTGACTATCTGGATTGATATAAAGTAGTTGAATAATAATAAACTCATAGAAAAATAAAAAATTACAAATCCATTGTATAAGAAAGAAACAATTAATCAGTGAGAGAATTTTTTTGAAAATCAGTCACGGACTTATATCCATTGGAGAATCATTGGAATTTAGCGACTAAATAGTCATTTCATCCCATACTCGTTTACTTCGTTAGGAATATACAACCATGTTCTTATACTGGACTCAAACCCGGAACCTCAGGTCTGGAGGTAGAAGTCATACTTTTAAATTATTTTGTTGTTGTAGTTGTAAACTAGGATTAAGCGTTTGTCCAGGAACCCCTAGATTTGAAATGGAGTCTATCTTCTTCTTCTTCACAAAGCAATCAACTGAGCTTAGTCCGATTGAATGGACATTCTATAAGACAAGGTACCTTGAAATATGTCGAGGAACTCTAGTTGATATAGATCTCACGTTAATTGACACTTGTCGTCATTTAGTCTAGTAGCTACATTGTCACTTGATCGATCAGTTGTGAATGTAACTTTTCTCTATAACTCTGGAATGATATATCCCCACAGTAATAAAGTCAACTAGAGAATCATTATGGAAATAGTAAAATCATTTTAATTTTTTTCCATCAGACATCATCAGTTCACCTCCATAGCATCACACATATAGAAGGAAGTTTATAACTTAAAAGTTTTATCTAAGCGAAGATAAATAGCGTTTAGCAGTGGAATTCAGGATGTGCATTTCATCCCATTTAGAACTCGTCAACTGAATGTATCTGCCTCTCAAAGTTGATGTTCACTCTGACACTCAAACCCAATACCGTTTACTTTAAACGTCATCGCATTATCCACTTAGCTACTGAGTTCTGATAGTCACTTACTTGTGCAATGAAGTGACTTTAAAATTTCACATTTTTTTTTAAACATTAATAAATTGATTTTATTCTTGATTGGTACTTGTAACTTCTAAGTGAACAGTTATTCTCCAGGTATATACAAAATATATTCAATATCTAATATAAGCAACAACAACAAAAATCAATATGTATTTGACATAGACTGTCATATAAAAAGTAAAGTAATTTACATTGTTCATGTAAAATAATAATAATAATAATAATAATAAGGCATTTGGAAATGACAAAATACTATTTATTCTCTATAAATTGTATATTGTTGTTAAGTGAATAATCCTAGTTGAAAATAAATGCTAATATAAATCACTGTTTAATTAACTAACTAACTAACTAACTGATTTCTTAATATGACGTTACAAACCAACTTAGCCCATTTGAAGAAAGAGAAAGAAAAAAAAGGAAGGAAAAAAAGAAAGAAAGAAAGAAAGAGAAAGAGTGTGTGCGTGTGTGTGACATGTATTCACACATACACATCTAAACAATTCATATGGGAATACTACAAAATAACTAAGGTTTTCTTCATTTATCTATATGCTTTATTATTCACGTTATTTTCGAGTGGATTTTTCATTCTGGTAATGGTACATTTTTATGAATGAAATTTATAAAATGATAAATGATATTGTCTAGATCTCTACAAGTTTTACAGTAGGATCATTCGGTTCTATTTATAAATTGTATTTATTATTGAAAACTTTTATCTGTTTAACTAAATTACTTAAGGTAATCAATTATCGACAATATAATTTGGATCTCTATTTTATTTGATACATAATTATCTTCAGAAGGGGTTTGTGGAGATTTTTAGAAATTTCACAGATTGAACTCATGATTCAATTGAAGCTAGACCATCATGGAAAACCTGGAAGCACTGGACGGCCGTTTCGTCCTAGAATGGGGCTCCTCAGCAGTGCGCATCCACGATCATAATTATCTTACAGTTATTATTGAAATTTAAATAATTCCAATGTTTCATTCAATATACTTGTTGTGTAGAACTTCTTTAGTATAATCATTGGAATCAAAATAAATAAAGAATATATATAATGTTTAACAATCAAATCAAATCTATACTAGATGCTTATTCAATTCTATTCTGATTTTGACTTGAATAAGTAGGATAATATAAATGAGTTAGTTGTGAATCATTTGATGAAAAGTTCATAATGTAAAAATAAATGAATGAATGGTTATGTGTATATGCGTAAGTTTAAGTGATTAATAGCTGATGAGGTGTGGCAACTTGGACCGATACAATTATGTGCCTGGTTCTATGTTGTAACTGACTGACTGACTGACTGGTTGATTGATTGATTAATAGTTGATATTAGGTATTAATTTGCCTTTTAATGGAAGTAAAAATAAGAGTGCAAATTAATAATGTTTTTTTTTAACGTTAATGTGTGTGTAAACTGAGAACTATTGAATGCATAATTGTAATCATAAAATAATCAAATTGATTTCTATCACAACAACAGTGCATGTGAAATAAACAGGTCTAATTACTCATTAATGAACGTTTGCTAAGGGGTGACTAGCTGTTCAGGTTGTTCTGATTAGCTCCTGTTAGAAATATTTCTTTATGAATGCAAACCCTTTTTTGAAGCATTTTGTAATTATTTTTTCATATAAACTCCGTTACAGATGAAGTTTTGAATGTGAACAAGGTGATGAGGAATATTGTGACTCCCCATTCGTTCACACTGTGGAAGAATACCTTTTCTTGTAGCAACTGAAGTAGAGAATGCTTTAAGAGTGGTCTTGACAATGAGAGAGCGTGATTACAGAGAAAAAGGCATAACAGTTTGAGACCGGTTAGTGAGGTACTATAGATATGCTAGCTTTATACTCCCCAGACCTTACAGCTTTCAATGGAAATCCGAGAAGTGAAATGAGGTGTCCTATTTTTTGTTCCGAACTTTTCTTACTTTCTCCTTTGATTGCACGATCTCAACATCGTTGAAGACGATCGTTGTCAAAAAACAAAACCTTACTACTGTCACAACCCGGTACAGTTAGAAATCAAAATTCACCCTGGGATCATGAGTTTGCTTGTTTTATGCTTACCGCATTCCAATAAACTTGGATGGCATGCTAGGGTCTAAAATAACAAGTATTCTATCCAGTTAAGCTTGAATGAGTCTTCAAGATAGGTAATCTCAGTCACTACGTTAAGGAAGAAGCTACAATAGGGTTACTATCAACTGACAATTTATGCATAAAGAATAAAAATCAAGGGAAAGCGGGACAACTGTTAAATGCTAATTCTGATTTATCCAGTATTGTCAAGTTATGACTACCCGTGAGATGTGAACCAGGACTCAGAGACCTTCAGTTAAGTATAATATCTATAGATCACTGAGAGTTGGGGTCGAGTGAGTCATCATTTTTTCAACTCCAATCAGTTTATGTCCTACTATATTACACATCCAAATTATACATAATTTCAATTATTCAGACTTAAATGTTTAATTATTACAATTGCATAACTTACTTTGAATGGGAAATGAAGAGGGACGTTTTACACCTCGAATGAATCCTATTATTGTTGGTCTAATTGTTCAGCATCCATTTTCTTTCTGGACAACACCATTAGAGCTTAATCCATGTAGAATGTATATATGTTTACTTTTATTCATCTTTTTATCTTACGTTATGGGAATTTACCCACTTTAATATTTTATACTTCAAGTACAATCCAAAGATTTATACTCGGTCCAATTTTTATGGCAAGAATTTTAATAACTTTTGTAAAGCAATCATATAAATGTATATATCATTTATTCTGGGGTATTTTTTAGAGTTTTTGTTATAATCTAGTCGAATTACCGATCGGATTTTGTTTTCAACCCTTGCTCTTTACCATATTTGTGTTTTTCATCCAACTTGTTAAGTTCATTTATACCAACATGTATATAACAGCTAAATATAGATAACACTAGCCGCTAGAAATTAAATTTTCACTAAAAACTAAACTCTACTATAGATGGGAAATAGCTAGCAGTGAAATTTAGGACACATGTTTCGTCCTATTTCAGGCCGTCCACCCGGATGTACCAGCATTCCAGAGTTTAATGTTCACTAAAGTAGTCGAACTAAGTACCGTTCACTTCAAATGCCTTTGTGTTATTCACTTATCTACTTAGACGATACAGCCGCCTACTTGTTCGACGTGTATGAGATTTAATTCAGTTTGAAATGGTTTGAATTATCGCTTTATTGGTATTTCTGACTACTAACCAAGGCTGATCAAATTTCAGTCAAAAATATCAACAGTGAGATAACTCAAACCATTTCAAAATGAATTAAAACTCTACTGTATAGCATGGACCTGATAAATGAAGTACTGAATACAACACACTTATTGTACATTGTTTATCAGTATTAAATTATTTAGAATGTCGATAAATTATTTCTTTACTAAACATCATAGGTCAAACTAATTTGTCCATTGGTTGGAAAACAAAAAGTTAAATCCTGGCTATGGCGTGAACCAGTACTACCAAGTTCAACAGAATATGCTCAATTACCACAAGGTCGACCACCAAGTCGTACTGTTACAGCTATTAAACCAGGTTTACATGAAGGTAAACATGTAGAAATTGGTTCAGATTTGTCATGGGCACGTATTGTTGATCCTTTATCACCGGAAGCCCCGATAAAATTATGGTGTCAATTTACAATGCCCTCTCCATGGGATAATAAAGTTAGTTCACTTAATGCTTATTTTGTCTAGCAATAAAGCTGGGGGTTTTTTAAGTAAGACATTTTATTACATTTTCTTATTCGTACTTACATTATGTTAATCAGTAGTAATGTTTTTATCAACCATAGTAGTTGTAACCAGAAGATGCTAAATCTTATTGCGTTTAATCCATTATGGGACTCTAGCTTTGATTCAAGATGTGTATAGTCAATGTAATCAACAGTTTCTAGCCACTACTATGTATTCCTCATCTTATGCACAATAAATCTACAATAGTTGCAGTAAGATGCGAACAGCTTGTTAAATATTACTGGACTTCCTCATTCTATGGATGCCAATATTGTGCATTAATCAGTGTTAACATTGTGCGACTATAGGTGAATACTAATAAGAAGTCATAAAATGGAAGTTGAAACAGTCGTTTATTACTTCTTGATTTTCAGTAATTCCATGACTGCTATCTATATTCCGTACACAAACTACCTTTTACCTGTACATTAGTTGTTAACTGAGATGTAATTAGTGTGAATGAGTAGCCAGCTGTTGATTTTGACAAATTCTTATCAGTAAAGGTTGAAAAGTGACTTGATATTACTGTATTTGTTAATATATATATTAAGTCAGGAAGATGGGTAACTAGTTATAATATTTTTCTTTACTAAATTATAAGTTAAAATTGACACTGCTTCATGTTAATAGAACTTTTTTAGAATTAGTCGATTAGTATACTTCTGGCTGTCAGACATAAGTTAAATTGTTTCTTTTGTAACACCGATATAATGATTGACTGTATCAATATCACATATATCCTACTATACAAAATTTGAACAAGCTTCTTTATGACTGTTAAGATTTATGTAACTTTCAAGCTAAACATCCGAAATCATTAACATATCCTGCTTTAAAGTGCCTTTATTGAAGAATTTAGGTCAGCCATAAATCATGAAAAACTGACAATCACAGTTATAGTGTTAGGTACTAACTTGTAACTAGTGTTCAGCCATTGTACCTGGTGAACCCATTACTTTCAAACCACTGGATCTTAATTTAGCAATAGACCTTTCAGCTTTAGTCACCTTATGGCAAAGCATGATTTGTATTCAATTCCTTTAGTGAATCTCTGTTTTATGGTCGATTAGATCTTATGGAAAGTTGTAAGACACGAAAAGTGAATTATATATTTTGCAAAGAGAGTTTAGATATCTGATCAACAACACTCTTTATTTGTTACATTTGTCTTTGTTAGAACTATAAAATAGAATCATATCAAAGTTGATGAATAGTACATTTTATTTAAAGTGGTTCGAGTGAGGCTATAATTTATGGACGACCTTTGAGCAACGCTAAAGTGACCTTCGGAATGTCCATCTACTTACTAGGGTTAAATGATGGTTATAAAGCAGTATGAAGAGTATAGATTACAATTTACAATTGATGGTTGGGGTTAGGAATTAAATATGGGGTTTTCATCACGAAATGACATCAGTTAAAATGCCAAAACGCTATTTAGACAATTGGATGAGTGAATTTCGCGCCAAAACCCAACAGCTGTCATCCTAAATCTAATTGGTTCGTCCATAAATTATAGTCTCACTGTGGTTTGCTATGCAAAAAAAATATATGATTGTTCTAACATATATGAAATAATTTCTTATTTTTGTCAATAGCTAATTTTAAAGTCATTTATGTAATAGATTTTACTAATACTAACTGTTCAACGAATAATCTTTATAATCAATGTGTTTAGTCATTAATAATCACTAACTACTTACGACTAAAATGCAATGTATCCACCAATTTAAGTGACTCAACTTCTTCGTAAACTTTATTTGATTGTAGTCATTTGAAAAAACGTTCACGTAACCGTTGTAACTTGATACGTACCTCATATCACATAATTACAGGACCAATCTTCGTATTATTAACTAAACCACTAAATATTCATAAGATAACTACACTCTCTTGATCATAACGTATAAGTATGTATCTAAAGATAGATATATTCCAGGACGGAATGTATAAAAGAGTAATCTTTCTTCCAATCTATGTAAAATACCATCAGTATATATTTATGTATATAAATATGATACATTTTGTTGTGGTCTTCATCAGAGAATCTATTAACAATAACTGAAGTGAATATGCACTACTGAGGAGTCCCATACTAGAATGAAACGGCTATCTAGTGCATCAAGGTTTTCAATGGTGGTCTAGCTTATTAAATTTGCTACTATTTCCACAAATCCCCCTTTCTAATATTAATTGAAATATCTATAGTTATTTCATTTGAGCCAAGTAATCCTAAAAAGCAATTACTAATAAAATTACATGAGATCGTATAGAATACAAACCGATTTTGTAAACAAACAAAATGACTATTAAAGCATTCCGTAAGTAATAGTGTCAGCCAAACTTCCATATAAATTAGGCTATTTGTAAAATATGGATTTATACTTTATTTAGGACAATAATAAACCTCTTGAGATTCTATTCTATCATATTTATACACGCATATACATAAAAGCACTATTTATATACAATTGAGTGAGGAAATTCGAAGAAAAACATCTTTTCCGTTTTTTAAGGTGATTTATAGGTAGAATTCTGATAGTGAGCTAGTTGGTTATTGATTATTTGTAGCAAATCTTCTAGTCATTGTTTTAAGTTATGAGTATTATTTTGCTTAACTTTTAGAATTGAATCAAATCATACTACTGAATAACTTAAAAAGTAATATAGTAAGTGAGAAGTTTAAGTATTGAAAGCTACCCTTACCAAACGAATTCATTCAATGATTCCATTCTGTATAATGAACAAGTCAAGTTTATATATATATATATATATATAGCCCCTATGGTCACGGCTTCTCACTAGAACTCCAAGAATTCCTTCAGAAAGCTAGTCACTAGTGAGTACACGGTAATTATTAGTTGAAGTTAGACATTAACGCCGTTGGATGCCGACTCAGAGGTCTAGAAGTTAAGCGTTCGCACGCGAAACCGAAGGTCCTGGGTCCGAATCCCGCGAGCGGGGTCGTGGATGCACACTGCTGAGGAGTCCCACAATAGGACAGAATGGCCGTCCAGTGCTTCCAGGTTTTCAATGGTGGTCTAACATCAATCGGTTCATGATCTCAATAAAATGTAATGGTTATCATCAGAATTATTTCGAAATGGGGATCAGGATTACAGTTCTCTATCGTCCAAGGGTATTTTCTCATCTCTAAGCCAACGTTCTACGTTTTGAATGATTATACTCTCTTACTAGCAGTGAGTAAACTTAGGTTGAAGTTGAGATGATCTTAAATATTATTGGTTCAGAACATGACATTGTTCTACCTCGGTATTGAATTCGGTAAGGGACACACGGCTGGCAAGCTTCTGTTATCGTATATTTTAATTCGTTGTAGGTTTAAATTCATAAAATTATAAACTCCAACACATCTAACTTAAAATTGCACTTAACACACATATGACAAAGACAATGTAGCAACAGATCAATAATTAATTGGCAATATCCAAGAAATAGTAAAATGTTACAATGGTAAAAAGGTTCAACGAACGATCACGATACACGAAACATATAAATCTAATAATCCGACTGTCTAATGGTTGTACAACAACACTGAAATAACGAAAACTATTTAGTTAAACAACCACTGAAAACCTGGAAGGACTGGACGTCTGTTTCGTCCAAGTATGGGACTACTCGGTGGTGTGAATCCGTGACCCAGTTACTGGGGATTGAACCTAGGACCGTCAGTCATGAGAGATAACCCTAACCTCTAGACTACCGACAGCCTAATCAGAAGGTCAATCGATGGTAATCAGAAGTGACCTAAAAAGCAAGTTCATTTTATTGACGAAGAAATGGATCAATTTCCTAAGGATTAGAGTGGTATATATATATGAGTATTTGTGTATTTTATTCTCTTAACCTATAGACCATTGAGCTGGCTTCCAACAGCGTTAATGTCTAACTTCAAGCAATCCACTAAAAAATCATTTAGGATAGGATTTAAATATGGACTCATTACTATTTTCATTAACTTGTCTATAATATATGTTGTTAAAGACAAAATCAATAGTCAATTGTTCATCGTAATAGTTATTCCTTGCGATTACCCCTTGAAAATCCCAATATTGATTCGTGGTAATGTTAGTTATTGATATAAAAGTCAATTTTCTCAATTAATAGTATATTGATGAATGAAGAAGTAACATTTTAAGCCATTGCTTCTTACTGAGTTGAACACGTCACGATAGTACGATTGATCCAAAGTTCAAAAGTCACCATTTCTTCTTTTTACTATGAAACAGTAAAGTGGTTAGTACAAATTTGAAAACACTTAAGTAAATTACTCGCTAACAAAATCATCAAGCAAAATTTTAATTTGATTAATAAGATGAAATATATGAGTTTAAATGAGAGACATATGATATCTTTTGACTTTACTTCGTTGTTCTATCACTGATTGAGATAATTCTCATTGTATGTTACCAACTATTAAAGTTGCGAATCGATATTGGATGTTCCAAGGATAATAATCTAAAAGAATTACTTTCATAATATACAATGAATATTCACTTCATTTAATAATAAAATATACTGTACACAAATTGATATGATATTTAGGGATTCATTTTCAAGCTTTATATTAACTGAATTTTTTCTCTAATAAAATACAAACTATGTAGGTCAATGAAAATTCAGATATGATTATTATCAAGTTCACCTTAACTGACTTAAAATTTCAGTGGTTGAGATCATGAGTCAATCAGAGCTAGACCGTCATGGAAAACCTGGAAGTACTGGACGGCCGTTTCGTCCTTTTGTGGAACTTTTCAACAGCGCGCATCTATGGTTCCGCCTAGCGAGATTCGAACCCAGGACCTGTCAGTTTCGCGCTCGAGCACCTAACCACTAGGCCATGATCTCAACCATTAAAATTACTATAATATCCACAAAATCCCTTCCGACTTAAAATGAACAGTTATCTTTGTACTAAATCAATTTTCGTACTTTTGTCCCAAATATCATTTTTCTTTTTTCTTCAGGATCCAATTATTGCATACTATGAAATTGATTGGGAATTATATGAACCAATTTCACCGCAAATTTATATTCTACCAGGTGATAAAGAGTTTAACTTTGAAGAGATAAACCAAAATCTCTCAAAATCTATTCTATCTAATCAACAATTAATAAATCAAGATCAACATACAACCATTGCTCACAGTATTAATGCACAAATTGATGAATCTATTAAATTGGCTAATTTGAAAAGCCCAAATAAATCAATATTATTAGAGAATAAACCAGCTCGTATCGCGTGTCGATTTCGTTCGATTCCATTAACTGGTATACCAAATCCACAATCAAATTCATTGAGAATACAAAATGTTTATTGGTATCGTAATGGCCAATCAGTTCATGTTCCACCATTCTACGTTGATAATTCATTAATTACTCCATATGGTTTATCAATTTTATCTGTTCGTGCCTATCCAACTATATTTAATTTTAGTCAAATTGGTGATGAGAAATCATCAACAGTAACGGTGGTTGGAAGTAGTGATAAATATAAATTACCTATTGAACATTTAACTTGTTCCGTAATAAGTCGAGTGAAAGAAACACCAATTTACAAGGTTACAACAAATGCAAGGTTGGTTTAAATTTTTCCATTTGGTTTCTTTTCTCCAAATACTAACATAAATAATGGTGACCGGATAAAATGTTACTGAAGTGAACGAGAACACCAGTGAGGACAAATAAATATATCTGAATACAAAATTACAGAATCTCTTAGTAAAATTTGAGAACCATACAGTAAATGCTTCATTTGGAAAATGTTAACCATTTGTCTCAGACTTGATTACTTCTTCGTTTCCACACCAATCATTATCTGTTCTTGTTCTCTTCTCTTCGATCTTCTTAACCTTCTGCCACCAGGCAGAACACTTTCGATTGATGATACATACTACTCATATCTGTCAACATCAGTAGCATACACTACACTACCACACTTAAAAGTATATTTAAACTTCTGTATGTAAATCAATTAGAAGGGGAAAATCATCAAAATTGTGTTAGTACTATATATATATACTTCTTTATTGTCAAACACATGGTCGAAATAAGTTATAAGACTAGTTCCTGCTTTTCAGAGATACTTAGCAACACCAGTAAAATATGAACAAAAAAGAATTTTTAAAATAGATCTTTTGATTCGTCTACAATAACAACATAACTTTTGAATACTAACGTTAAAATAGTCTATTAAAAGGTATAATTAGATTTAACCAGTCTATACCAGAATAGGACAAAAAGTGGGTGGTTTTTTGTTGTTTTAAGATCGTAGTTCAATCCAGCGCAAGAATGTTGTAGTTTGAAAACAAATCTCCTAATAAAAACACAAATGAGCTGACATCAACAATCTTATCGACATGTCGGTATACATACCTGTCGAATATTTTATTTATTTAATACAAAATGACTGCGGTTTTTTAGTTGAATGAACCTGGAAAAATCTAATTGGTTTACTTTGATCAAAGTGAAATCACAGTCTATTTAATATTTTCTAAGCGAACTTGTTCATCTTGACAGTTTAGCGAGTGGTTAACACAAGTGTGATGAGCAAGGAGAAAAATCTTTGGAAATTCTTAAAAATCTGCAGTCTTTTTGTTTTAATTTAAGCATAATATATTGAATAACATTTTCTATGAGAAACTAGCCCTGATGACAGAAATGTTTGCAATTCCTAATGATTTCAGTAACTGAATAGTAAGGATATCATCTAGTTTTTCTATGTTTTCATGTATTCATCGATTTAACTTTGTTTAGTACAAAAGTGGTCTACTATTAGTCGAAATAGCCAACGGATTCGTGAATGAAGTTATTTTTAATTAAGAAAAGATGAGAGGAAGTCAATAAGTAGCTTACTTTAAATTATATTTATTTGTGAAAATGTGTTTTTTCATTTCCAATAAACGATTTAATTTTGGCAATTCTGTAAGTATATCTGTAACAGTTGGCTAATGACAAACCCGACTATTTTACATTGATGATGTCGATGACTACCTCTCAGATGATTAAAGCATTCATAGTGAAATGTACTCATTATTTAGAGGGGATTCTGCTAGTGTATTCACTTGTGAAGTTAAATCGATTTTCTGAAATCTCAGAATAATGTTTCTTGTAACTTAATTTCAATTCATAGGTCTGTTTATTGCCAGGATTTCTTTTTAACTATTCTTTTATATTTATTACTTAGAGCTCGAAATGATCTCATTCCTTCAGTGTTTTTTTAAACTTATGAATAATGGATGAATTGGACAAATCAGCCTTTAGAATATTTTACGTGTAAGATGGCTAGAATAAGCCTACAGAAAACCCTGTATTTTGCTTTGTGTTAATTGATACAAATCAGCAAAGTGTATCGCAAATCTTGAGGGGACTGAATATTTCCGTGAAATACAGACCCCTGTCTCCCACTTTCATATTTTGAGACGTTACCACTCAGTTGTTCAGCTGTCGACTAACCTCCTGTAGGACCGTGATATTTACAACTGATTAGTGACTGAGTACGACCAATGTCATGGTTATCTAATCATTTAGTGAGGATCGATTTGACTTCCCAAAAGAGTAATATTTATCAAAACATCTTTAAAGACATTTTACTTCTTTAGTTTCACTAAATTACTTACTTTATTCAAGAGTGGGACAAATGACCTGAAGTAACCTGGCAGATTTCTTTCAACATATAGTAGTATTATTAATGGTGTAATAATAAAAACTGATTACTACCCGATATATGTATCGAGTGTTGGTTGATAATGAAATATTTTCTCAACGTTTTTAATTAAATTATTAGTATGAATACTGTCATGAAACTTCACTAAAATTATAATCCCGAAGGAATTTTCATTAGGTCGATCGGTTTCCAATGATCTATGCTAACCTTAAATTGTTTTTATTAGATTATTTTTTCACCGAAGTATGTCACCCTCTACAGTTAGGATCTTGACATAGTTCTAAAAAATAGTTGGCACACACGTTTGAATATAATACGTTATTGGCTAGTATGTTCAAAATCCATTACTTTTTAAGATTAAGTTCATCGAATTGTACTTTTTAAAAGAATATTACAAGTGCTTTATACATGTCTATCATTTCTAATCAAAACCAGAGTGGGAGAATCTCAAGTCCGGTGGGATTTAATGTAATTTCATGGGTAACAATTACAACTACTCGACTGATTTAAATAACAAGTGATAATCGTCTGTAAGCAAAGATTACCAGTTAACTCTGAACTTATATACAATATAGTGGTCTTCGAGATACGTGAAGTTCTTGAGTTGTGGTTGTAGACCAACTGATAAACAGTTCCATACTAGGACGAAGTAGCAGTTCAGTGCTAACAAGTTTCAATGATGTTTTATTTAAGATAAGTTCATAAAATAAAACATAGAATTCAGTAATTTCCACAAATCACCTTTACTAATAATATCAAATATTTTTCAATACAATCCACAGTGAATGTTATTATAACACTGTGAGCAAGGTTTCCTGGTGGTCATTCTATTTCAGTAGGAAATTCATCAAAATTCACTAAACCACATTATGTACCTTAATTCATTCACAACTTCTCGCCTAATTTCCTTTAGTTTTATAAGCATATATTTATGATTTAAAAGTTTAACGTACTTGAGGATGGTGATTCTCTTGATGCACACTGTTGTTGAAATACAATCTATGACAAATCAATCATTTCAATAATCCTTGATTTTACAATGAATGTTTAACTGATACCGTCTCATAATGAAATTTAACTTCGAAATATTATTGAGGAGTAAAATAAATTTATTTTACTCCACAATATTTGTAAGTCTTGCTTGATAAAAGTTTACTAACTAAACTAATTGCATGAAATTCCTAATACATCAATGTAAATAGTTTGTGGAGATTGTTGAATTTCATGATTCTGCATCATGGTCTAACTTTCGTTATATAACCATTGATTAACACAAAGCACTAGACAAAAGCTTCATTAAAGAATCAAGCTTTTTAGCAGTATACTTCGCCAAATGTATTGAAGACCGAGCCCAATACCTTCTGGAGTTGGAAAACCCTGATTCCAAATAATTGGTGCACATGGGCTCCAGTATCCTGAGGAGACAAATGGCGTATGAACCAATTATTGGTCACCGGCTACCATGGGACAGCATCTCCTTACGTTGCTCCACTACCTTGTGGATCAGACCTTTAGGTCAAAGGCTCCGGGTGTGTCCCCCTAAGAAAACCACCTGGTTCGGTTTGGGCACCCGGGCAGTATCAAATGGGATTTGTGTAGCGAATATGTATCTAGTGCCCCCGTGTACCTGTTGTGGATGCAGAGGAATAGACCAATAATTATCATGTTAAGTCCAATGGTGTCCTTGGACTTTAAATGGACATTGCCTATTGGTCGATATCTGTTCACTTGTTGAATATTGTACAAAATGTTGTTTTCTATTTTATGGTACGATGTGGTATGCTTGATTGGTATATAAACAAAGTATGTTTGAAATATAATGATTCATATCTCCGAGGCTGTGGCTTGTGTTCTGGACTCAACTGGCTGGGCTGGACAGGGAAGCAGGACCAATCAGAACTGTAGGCCGTTCGTTCGTGTTTACGTGTCACTGTAATCGATCGATAAGTACACTGCTCTCTAATCTCTTCAGTCAAGGACACAACAATTAGCACAGGGTAAAAATCGACCTCAACATAAAGCCATAACAGTGCCAATATCTGTGTGTTCAAATAAATAAATGAATAAATAAATGGCAAAATAACTCTCTAATGCTTCCTAGTTATTAAGTTTTTGTTTAATGAAGCTCTCTTAGTGATGTTAACTCTTAACTGACTAATCCTTACAAACTCTTTCTCCTAATAACTTTTATCAACTTAAACAATGCCATTTTATGTTCAGTCAGAAATTATTTTCAATAATTTCTGTTCACGTTTAAATAGTGAAATAAATTCGCTAGTAGTTAACTATTCTTCATATCAAACTTATTAATTTGGAAATTCAACTTGGATTTTTTCTACATTCCTGTTATAACTTGTGGCTTGTGTGCCCTGTTAATGTATAACGTAATAATACTGACAATTAGAGCGCAGTGAATTATCGATCAGACCAATGACGAATAAAAACCCGTATGAGCAGTCTATAGTGCTTATCAGTCCTGCTTACCGCCTAGCCTAGCCAGTTAAGTCCAGAACATCAATCTCAGCATCCGCAATATGAATCATTTATTTAAAACATACTGGGTTTTATATACCAGTCAGATAGACCACATCGTACCAATAAAATATGAAACAACATTTATACAAGAATTAGCCAATTAGCTGTGAATGTGAGAGGTATTGGTTAATAGACAGGGCATAATTCAAGAATGGTAAATCGTACAAGAATAGTTCATAGATCAAAATAAAGCTCATAATAAAAGGGACACGAATATGAATAGTTTAGTTATTTAACAATTATACGATAAAAATATACGTTTAGTTTTGGTCCATAAATGGATCTCAAAAGTTACCATTTATTATGCTTTTTGGGACATAACAATTCTCTTAAATTATGTCCTTCTGTTTCTTCTTATTCAAGATGCAAAAAAAAAGAATTTAACTAGGATCATCTTGATAAATCTAGTCAACAAAAATACGAAAAAGAATTATAGCATAAGTAAAGAGTTTTTGATAAAACTGAACTTACTGACTTCAATAGTTTAATACATAAAGTAAAAATAATGACAAAAAATCAAACAAACTCATATTCAGAACGTTAAAAACAGATCTCTTATTTCATAAATCAGTATGATTTTTAACTTTTATGATTAGAATATATAAGTTTTGCTTTGAGTTGTATAACAAAAATACTATCTTCTTAGCTAAGTCTATAAACTATTAAAAAATGAGAGAAATTGATTATGTACATTGACACAGATTCAATTACTTTTTTAGTGAAGTATTTAAACCTTGAGTATTACACTCTATCATTTGTGTAACAGATTTATGTGCCATCATATTATTGGTCATCGACTAATATGAGATTGTATCTCCTCAAGTTGCTACAATGTTTTATGGATTAAACCATCAGGTCAAAGGCTCAGAGTGTGGACCTCCTAAGAAAACCACCTACTTCGGTTTGGGCACCTGGATAGTATTAAAGCCCTCACACGAATCAATGATAAATACTACTGGCCTCATTGTTATTGTGTGACGCATATGTCTTTGGTGCCTCTTTGTACCAATATTTATGTGTTTAAATAGATAAATATTCTTAAAATGGTTAGCTAAAGTTTTGATTATTAACAAAAAGCTGATTGGGTTTCATTAAAAATATTTATATTATGTCAACAATTCCGTTACATTCGACTGTGTTTACCAATTTACTTATGTGCCTATATGAATAAACATATATCAGAAGTAATTATGATTTAAAAATAATGGTAGTTGAAGATCTATCAGTATGACTATGAAACAAATAAAATTGAACAGCTTATTAACCAACGCAATATAACTGTCAGTAAGAGGTTGTGGAGATTGTTGAATTTTATTGAAGTTATGAAACAATCTAAGATTTCTATAAGATTCAACAATCTCCATAACTTCTTACAGATAACTACCATGCGCTCACTAGTGACCACCTACTAGAGGAAATTTCTAGAGTTCTAGTTAAAAGCCGTTACCAAAAGAGCTAGTCCGTATCGGGTGTGGGACAGTTACCCGTCAAAGACAATAGAAGATAATCACGGAATGTTGTGGATCGATTGAAGTTAGACATTAACACCATTAAATCCCGACTTAGTGGTTTAGAGGTTACGTTTTCGCACGCGAGACTGAAGGTGCTGGACTCGATTCCTTTTTACTGGGGTTTCGTGGATAGACCTAATGAGGAGTCCCACACTAGGAAGAAACAGCCGTTCCATGGCTTCATGTTTTCAAAGGTTGTTTAACACTGATCGGTTCATGATTCTAGTGACAACATATCTGATTAGATTACGAATGATGATTCAGCGATAGAAATTAATATCACAAAACAACCAATATTCTTTTATTTCCGTCTATCATTTTATTAAGGATATGACTTTTATCTTTTCATTGAATTGAAACATTGTTTGATAATGCTTTCTAAAAATAAAAGTGTAATCACAACCTGAATAGCTCAATGATAACGACTTGGACCATGAAAGTGATTGAGTACAGTTTAAACCCCCAAGAAGCACCAATTCTTTCAAGACTACAGTTGCACGCTGCTAACCAAAGCCAACTAGCAAAAAACCTAGGTTTAAGGCTTCGTCCCGACAAATTTGTTAATGAAGGCAGGATGGAACTTGATATCAGATAAAAATGTTAAATGTTCAGAACTTATTCTTTTTAGTTGAGTAATATGTGACTGATATTGTCTAAAATAAGAAATGTAATTGAAGATAATATCCTTTCTACAGGATCTGAAGTCTTACAGATTCGGTTCAATGTTAGCATGTAAATTCTCAGTGTTACATTAAAATTATATTGTAGAAGAACAGTTGTCCCGTTTCTTTTAATCTAAATTTCATTTTTGGTTCTTTTGTTTCTCTCTGTTCAACCGTTGTGATATTTAGTTGAAAAGGTTTTGTGGAGTTTGTTTTATTCCGACAGTTATGTTCCTCACAGATTGATCTCAGTTCGGATAATAACTGAAATCTGGGGGGATCGGACAACTGTCTCTGCTTAGTGTGCGATTCCTCTCCAGTCCAGAGCCATAACCGACCCAAGGTATGAACTCAATATCTTCGGTGTCGGGACAAAAGCGTAATCATCAGGACGACTGGGTCGACCTTCAATGGTATACATTTCCAACTTCAATCCTTCTATGATATAGCGTGGCAATGACCCAATGCGATTAGGAGTAACTATTTCAATCCAACATGCCTGAGCTCCACAAAAATGTAGATTCCCCCTTAGGTACACCTTAAATGAAGTTACTAGTGAGCCGAAGATTACGGTTTATTTGAAGGAATTTAATGGAGACTGGTTTGGTTTGTAGGTGGTGTCATGCGTATCCACTACTGTAGAGTGTTAAAAGCTGTTTAGTGCTCCCTTGTTTTCAATGGTACCTCAACAAAAATTAGTCTGTGACAAATACAATTTATACTATATAATAATAATAATACTAATATGACGACATTATCAATAATAATATTTAACTCTTTTTTTCCCTCGATTTTTTTCCTCAATTCATATCACAGTCTACAAACTGAAATCATTCTTGTTCCACGTATAATACATACAGAGTTATTATCAGCTGAAAGAAGTTTAGAAGATGCAATTAAATTGACCTGTACAGCTATAGCGAATGGACCACCAAATATGCGTATTGATTTTGCTTCAACAGATCAACCATCTACAAATAATGGTCCGACTCAATGGGAATCATTAAAATCACGATATGGATTAAATATAAGACCACGACAAGTTGATCCAACTAATCCATTAATACATCGTCTCGTAATTGATATTTCTGGTAAGAAGCTTCTATGTGTTGTGATAAATTCTGAGGCTTGACATTCACATATACATAAACGTGGTTATGTAGTGATGTTTTGTATTTATTTGATGCCTTATAGTATCCTAACTAGTTAAGGTGAATAAGACCTATGACATGTGTTCACAAATTATTGTAAATCAATGGCTGGAAAATTAAACTGCTAAAGTTCAAAATCAAACAAACTGGAGCAAATGTATTTGTTTCTAAATTTCTTTAAAACTTTTTTATTTATTGTTTGTTTATACATATCGTCTTCTACGTACACATATTTTCTGGGTCTTAAATTCAATTTTCATGATAAATGGACTAGTTTTCAACGTACTTTACGGCTGCGAAACGTGGCCATAAAGAGTTAAAGATATTCGCAAGCTACTAGTTTTAGATCACAGATATCTTAGAAATATTGCTGGCATCTGCTGGGATCACCGGGTAAGTAATAGTCAAATTAGACGTAGGGTATTAGGGAATGGTGGTAAATCAGTTGATAAGGTTATGAATCTTCATCGACTGAGATGGTTGGAACACCTGCTGAGTATGCCTGAACACCGATTATCACGACACACAATGCTGACTACTGTAGGGGATGGTTGGAAGAAAGTTAGGGTCGGCCAGACCAAAACGTGGCATCAGTGCTTGAAGTCGCTAACTCCTAGTCTGAGTCATGTTAGGAGATGCAGACTACTTGGTTGGGGTCCGCGTGACTATCGTAACCAATGGTTGGAGACTCTTGGTGACATGGCTGAGAATAGATCACAATGGCGTCGGTGTATACATTCTCTGTCTTCCCTTAAACTAAGAGATTAAAATCACTTCATATCTTTCTTTCTACGAACTAATCCTTTCTTCCTGTACTACATCGTTATATACAATCTTTCTTTTATATATTACCACCATTAAATTAACTACTTCTATGAATCCGGTGTTCATCTTGTTGCAACTTAGACTGATGCACATATGTGTTTGGTTCTACGTTGTAGCTGACTGACTGACTGACACTTGACATGTACATTAATAATTGTTTCATTAGCCTAGAAACAACTTTTAACAAATTATTTCTTCAATTGTTTTTAAAACTAATGAAAATAAATCAAATCAAAGTGTACACATATAAATTTGTCATTTATCATTTTAGATTGTAACTTGTTTAAAGATATTCACTTTATTGTTGTCATTTGAATCAGTTTACAGAATCCATCTAATTAGGTCTTATTTTGTGTATATTATAACTGTTAAGTATTAGGTATTTTGACAGGATAAATCTTTAACATATGTTATGAATTGTACTGATTAGCATAAATTGGTCTCAACTTTAATGATATTATCATTCAAATGATGTGGTAAAGTAACTTGATATAAAGTTGAAAAGCCTTTAGAATACTTAACTACAATGATAATAAATATAACAAATACGAGTGAATGTGAATTTAAAAAGACAAAACATTTACCCAACCTGTTAGAACGCTTGATTTTATTTCGTCTAATGTTATAATGGTTGGGTTTACACGTTTACACGTATAGGACATTAATTCATCTTAGACGAATATCTATACTAGATTCCCTCCCAGTGTCTATTCTACATGACTTCAACATAACTCAGATGATCAAGAACACGTGGTTCTCTTGACTACAACGTAAATATATTTCCACATCAAAAACCCGACACAATGCAACAACAATGAACAATCAATAATAAGTAGTAATTATAAGGATAGGGGAATATATAACTCACCTGACACCTGTCAGGCTACCTACATATCTGACTAAGCAGACAACCAATCATTATCATTCTAGCCCACACATCACAACCATTATTTGTTTCTATATGGAATGTTTCAATGTTAATGTTGTGAGTTTTTTCTGTTTCTCTGTACTTCTTAATAATGAGTTTGCTTACATTGATGAAATATAATTCCAAGGATGTAACTACTGTGTATATTGACACTGCTTAGAATAAGCAAATTCTTCGATCTTCAGTGCCCGAATCAGAACATGGGATAAGTTAGCTGATTTACTTTTAATGATGAAAACTTTAAAACATATTTTTATATACAATGAATCTAAAAACCATAATACATCATTGATAAGTTACAACTCGTACAAAATTCTACTATTTGTGGCATAATACACACTAGATATATATCTTTTTATACCAATTCTTCGGAGAACAGTTTTTCAAGTTTCACACATTTCTGACAGTTTTCTGTTATTCCATAAGTTTCAATATAGCTCAGATCACAGTACTCGAAACTAGCTTCAAAACGAATGGAATTCCTTACTAATTGTTCAAATTAAGGATAATTTATCATGGTATGATTACTTGGGAAATCGATAATGTACACATCCCTTAGCAGTATCAAACTAGGATTAAGCAATAATCCATAAATTTCATTGGACTTGGAAAGAGCATCTCATCTATTTAGGAATCATAGCAGTGGGATAAACATGAGCTCCATGTTCATATTCACATCGAGACTATAGCTCAGTACCTTTTGCTCCAAACTCGACTGGACATCAACATCGAGATGTAAGCACGTCCAACTAAAGAGTCCTAGCTTGGAAGAAACGAATATCCTGAATTACTCTATTAGCTATCACCCTACATTAATCAAACATGTGACAAAATAGCAATGGCGAGGCAGTCCTTTCAGGTTACACACGTGCCTACAACGAATGATTAACTGTAGTCCTGAACACCAAAAACAGTAAACGACAAACCCTTTACAAATAACTGTTTATTACTCTCCAAGTTTCAATGATTAGCCGACTGAAATGATTTTTCCTATTTGCCTCGTTGCATTTAATATGTATGTCGACATAAGTAGTATACGCCACACTAGTAGTAAGAAATATCATGTTTGTCTAGTCGATACTGCTGACTAAATTATGTGTATTAAGTTTTTATGTGGCTACTAGTCTAAGAAAATCGACTATGAGATCGGGTGTCACAGGTACAAATCCCACAACATTTGTCATTTCCAGCGAGATATCATATATACTGTTCTGACAAGTTCCAACCAATACGAAATCTAAGTTCAGGGTTTCCTGTATGTTACTATCTAAAATTAAAACATTATGATGATTAGTCTTACCAACAAGACTAAAGGATTGAGCAAGACTAATATTGATCACTACGTAATGATCAATCAATGTAATTATTACATGTATTTGTTAATATCACTTCCATCTAATATTAGCCACACATTTTATTTGGATAGAGAACCGTTGATGATTTTCATTTTAAAGTTATTTTTCATTTATGAGCGAAAGTTAATTACAAAATCATTGTGAAATAGAGAGGATCTATCATTTGTAGGATCATAAAAGTGTACCATCAAGAAATTGATAGTAGATTGAGAAAGTAATCAAATGTTTTCTAATATGTAATCACTATCTAGTTTGCGATAGGAATAAAAGTTTCAGTATAAGGTTGTGTAGATTGTTGAGTTTGTGATTGAGTTCATGAACCGATTGATGTTAGACCACCACTGAAGGCCTGGAAGCACTGGATGGCCATTTCGCCTTATTTTGAGAATACTCAGTAGTACGCATCCACGATCCCACTCACGCGGTTCCAACCCAGAGCCTTCGGTCTCATGCGAGGATGGTTAACCTCTAGACCCCTGAGTCGGCATCCAGCAGTGTTAATGTCAAATCTGAGTTCGAATCCTGCGAGCGGGATCGTGGAGGAGTCCCACAATAAGACGAAATGGCCGTCCAGTGCTTCCAGATTTTCAATAGTGATCGAACATCAATCCGTTCATAATCTCAATCAAATAAAAGTTTCACAATTGATTGATCACTGAGTAGTTGATCAATGTCATGCGTGTCAAGTTCTTATTTAGTGCAGATCGAATGCTATCGATCATGTTGCGATGTGGCCACCAGTCTAGGTGACTCGACATTGCGGGCACTATATATTGAGATTAGATGGTGGTTAGAGGTAGTCGACAGGAAACCCTGGACCCGAGTTTCGTGCTACTTGGCACTCGTCAGCAAGGCGGCTTGGATAGCTTAGTGGTAACGTCTCTGACTGTGAGGCTGGGTGACACGAGATCGCATCCGTCAGAGAGCAACAGTTCCCTCAAGAATACAGGTACACCTTGCTGACGAGTGCCAAGTAGCACGAAACCCGGGTCCAGGGTTTCCTGTTGACTACCTCCAACCACCAGTTAAATAAAAGTTTCATTTATACTTCATTTCATATGTATGTTATATCTATGAGAATTTTTTTACAATGAAACATGAATACAATGATCATTTCATTCAAAATAAATGATTCCAAATTGTAAACGTTAGTAAACATTAAATAGGGATATGTTTCTAATCGGTAATCCTCCACAATTGTTTTTAATATAAAAGATAAACACTTACCAATTGTATTTACATAAAAAATATTAAAAAGAAAGAAGATATTATCTAAACAAGTTTAATAGAAACTTTATCATTATCTGAGATAATCGAATTTCTTCCATTTTATTTATAAAGTTTACCTCAGGTCATTGTTCATGAATCGATAAATTCTGTTGTTTCATTTTTAGCTTGTAAAAAAACAACAGCTTGGTTAGATAATCTTTATTTCCTCTTTATTTATTTACTTTATTTTGGGATCTGAAATGGTAATCATTTTACCAATGTTATGATTACATTCAGAAATGGCGGATTTTTTGTTTGTTTGTGATTAAAAAAACTATTTCTTTTGTAAAATATCAAATGTAATAGTATCAGTTAATAATGATTATCTTTCCCTTTCAAAATGATTGATTTTTGTGTAGATTATTCTTTAGTTAAAAAGGGTGTCATGAAGATGTACTTTGTCAAAGATATGTTTTTTTTAAAGTTGGGATGTTATCGAATAAAGGAAGCATTGGATAGTTGTTTTGTTCTAGTATGGGTTTGTACTAAGACGAAACAGGTATTGAGTTCTTTCTGGTTTTCAACTTTATCCTGACTGTTATATCCGAGGAAGACTAAAGGAATGATGACTGCCAAGATTAGTTTGTGGTCTATTATTGTATGTAATCCTATTGCATAATTTGCATATTTTGATTAGTGGTTTTGTCATGTGATATTAGTGGGCTGCCATAAGTCATAGGATTGAGATTCTTTTTCACTTCAAAATGTATTATCTAGTATTCATTGTTTGGGTTTAGGTGTCTTAAGAAATAACAAGATTTTTGGAAAAAATATTTACACACTGAAAGCTGTAGATAAACTTATCTTCGCTTGTAGTTAAGTCCATCTAAAATATCACATTTCATTATTGTAGTCACCAACGGATAGTTTAAGGCTTATTTAAATTTTGTCAAAATTTTCTGTTAGCTGTTAAGATATGTTTATAACGTTAAGAATACTGTAAATAAAAAACACACAACAAAATCGCTGGTTATTTTATTGCGCAAGTAATAAACGGTTAAACATGTAATCAATGAAATAAATTTTTCAATGTTTCACTTGATGATAAACTGGTCTGAGTTTCATCGGGGAAATAAAGGAATTCAAGATCATTAACAACAATTAAGGTCTGTAAACCAAACTATCCTAAAAAGATTTTCCAATCTAGTTTAAATGTTGACAATTTTGGTTGAGCCTATCTGCGTTATTTTTCAGAGTTTAATAATTATAATATATCCAGCATTTTCGGAAATCTTTTCGTATAATTAGTAGATGATTGCTGGATGTCATAGTGTAATTTATACCAAAGATTTTAGTCTGATAATTGTATGATATCCATATTACTCTACTATGAACATTTTGGACAGAGAATATAAAGTTTATGAAGGTTAGGGCTTGAAACGAAATCTCACGAATGAGTAATTCTCTATGGCCTTTCAATACAGCCTATAAAAGTAAGGGAGTTGTGTAGGATGTAAGATTTTGTTCACAGATATTTTCAAAACCTTGCTTATATCTGGCATGATCGTCGAATGATCAGCTCTTAAGTTAGATATAGGGTCCTAGGTACAAATAGGGAACCAGTTGATGTGAAAGTGTATCTTTATTTAACAGTTTCGTCGTAAGATTTGCTACATCTGCTCAACCGCCGCCTACGTTGTCAAACAACATCGTTTGAAGTAGGTGTAGGTTTTAAGATGGCTGTAGGCAGCCAAACTTAAACATGATCTCATTCCATTAAACTATTAATTATTGAACTGGGCCATGCTGGTAGTTTCAGACTATTTTATTATGAACTGTGAGATAAGTCTAATCAGGGATTAGAGAAATTGGGTAATACAGTCCAAATTCAGTCTCAGTAGCTTAAAGTCATTTGCATATTATCCTCCTCTAAGTTTTGAACCGCATTGAAATTTTCTATTTTCATAATTCATCCCTTATTTTCCATTTGTATTCTCTAGTACAAAGTCTCTCGTTCTGTCACTTATACTACCACTACTTCAACACAAATTATTTTGTTCGGATACTCAATCCCAAAGTGTCACTCTGATACGATATTGAATCCTGAGGCTAGACACAATTGTGCCAGACCCTATATTGTTTATGAATGACTGAATCATTGCAAAAATTTTCATTTTCAACCGTACATTTTATATCTAACTTATTCTATTCGATTTCTTATTATACCTAGATCTTAAACGTAGTGATCATGGTGTTTATCGATGTACAGTTTGGAATCAAGCTGGTGAAGCACAAGCAATCGGACATGTTTTAGTACATTCTGAACCACAATTAGAATTAATGTCATTTGGGTATAATTATTTTCTAGGCCATAAACCATGGAAAGCATCATGTGTTGTAAAAGGTTATCCATTGGCAGGACAATATACAAATAACAGTCAGATTAACCAACATAAGAATCGTGAACAATCCATTGAAACAAATGATTCAATCATCACTGGAAAACAAACTGCTGATAAAGATAGTGGTATTCGTGGATTAGGACATACAGATCATAATCAACAATCAAATTCTAACAGTGTAACATCATCAATAAGAATGAAAATTTTCAATATAGAAGGAGAACCATTAGATCGTGTAGAAATTAATCAAATTGACTATAAATCAGGAAAATTCACCGGGTAAATTATGTTAATAACGGGATAAATTGATTTTAATACCATTTCAAATTAATTTTAGCATTGTTTTTCATAGGATTTTCTTAACAGTTGGTCATCATTTGTTTGAATATATTTGTTATCTACAGGGTTTTAAGGTTGTATACACTTCGAGAGATCAAGCTTAAATAGTATATGAATTTAGGTTGATACCATGAATGGATTAATGTTAGTTCACCATTAAAAACTTGGAAACACGGGACGGTTGTTTCATCCTATTGTGAGACTCCTCAGCAATGCTTCTAAGTCTTTCATGGTGGTCTAGATTCAATTGACTCATGATCTCAATTATTAAAATTACTATGAGATACACAAGAACCCTTCTGATATTAATCAACATGTGCTAACTAGTAACCGGTTTCAAGGGGTATATCCTGGAGTTTTAGTGAGAAGCAGTGACCAGTGGAGTTCAACCGGGTCTGTTGTTAGATAGTAATTCACTAAAAACAATGGTGGATGTATCACTCAATTTTGTGGATTAGTTGAAGCTATAAATTAACACCGTTGGATGCCGATCGGCTCAGTGGTCTAGTGGTTAAGCGCTCGCGTGTGAGACTGATGGGTCCTGTGTTCGGATCGTGGAGTGTGGATGCGCACTGCTGAGGACTCAACAATAGGACGAACCGACCGTCCATTGCTTCCAGGTTTTCCATGATGGTCTAGCTTCAATTGATTCATGCTCTCAACTATTGAAGTTTCAAATTATTTGAAAGATAAAACAATGATAAAACTTATTTAAATTTTTCCCTAATTCATTTATTTTTAACTAACAAAATATTTTGTTTATTTATTTGGAATATTTTTTTGAAAAGCTTGTCTTTATGGTAAACAATTTAACTAAGAACTGATGTTTATTGCATATTACTGAACTAATATGAATTCAGTAGTATTAATATGTCCGATAAAGGATTTCAAGTTATCACAATAAATAGGTAAATAAAAAAAGAATTTAGTTTGTTTGCGGAAATAATTCGATATGATTTGTTTGTTTGTTTGTGTTTTACGCGTTCAGTGATGTATGAAGTAGTTGTCATATGCCTTTTTGATCATATGATTATATGTTTGAGTTTGATGTATGTATGGGTAATATAAGATTAGGAATTAGATGGATAAAAATGATATTTTACAAGATTTGCTTACTTACTTACTTACTTACTTACTTACTTACTTACTTACTTACTTACTTACTTACTTACTTACTTACTTACTTACTTACTTACTTACTTACTTACTTACTTACTTACTTACTTACTTACTTACTTACTTACTTACTTACTTACTTACTTACTTACTTACTTACTTACTTACTTACTTACTTACTTACTTACTTACTTACTTACTTACTTACTTACTTACTTACTTACTTACTTACTTACTTACTTACTTACTTACTTACTTACTTACTTACTTACTTACTTACTTACTTACTTACTTACTTACTTACTTACTTACTTACTTACTTACTTACTTACTTACTTACTTACTTACTTACTTACTTACTTACTTACTTACTTACTTACTTACTTACTTACTTACTTACTTACTTACTTACTTACTTACTTACTTACTTACTTACTTACTTACTTACTTACTTACTTACTTACTTACTTACTTACTTACTTACTTACTTACTTACTTACTTACTTACTTACTTACTTACTTACTTACTTACTTACTTACTTACTTACTTACTTACTTACTTACTTACTTACTTACTTACTTACTTACTTACTTACTTACTTACTTACTTACTTACTTACTTACTTACTTACTTACTTACTTACTTACTTACTTACTTACTTACTTACTTACTTACTTACTTACTTACTTACTTACTTACTTACTTACTTACTTACTTACTTACTTACTTACTTACTTACTTACTTACTTACTTACTTACTTACTTACTTACTTACTTACTTACTTACTTACTTACTTACTTACTTACTTACTTACTTACTTACTTACTTACTTACTTACTTACTTACTTACTTACTTACTTACTTACTTACTTACTTACTTACTTACTTACTTACTTACTTACTTACTTACTTACTTACTTACTTACTTACTTACTTACTTACTTACTTACTTACTTACTTACTTACTTACTTACTTACTTACTTACTTACTTACTTACTTACTTACTTACTTACTTACTTACTTACTTACTTACTTACTTACTTACTTACTTACTTACTTACTTACTTACTTACTTACTTACTTACTTACTTACTTACTTACTTACTTACTTACTTACTTACTTACTTACTTACTTACTTACTTACTTACTTACTTACTTACTTACTTACTTACTTACTTACTTACTTACTTACTTACTTACTTACTTACTTACTTACTTACTTACTTACTTACTTACTTACTTACTTACTTACTTACTTACTTACTTACTTACTTACTTACTTACTTACTTACTTACTTACTTACTTACTTACTTACTTACTTACTTACTTACTTACTTACTTACTTACTTACTTACTTACTTACTTACTTACTTACTTACTTACTTACTTACTTACTTACTTACTTACTTACTTACTTACTTACTTACTTACTTACTTACTTACTTACTTACTTACTTACTTACTTACTTACTTACTTACTTACTTACTTACTTACTTACTTACTTACTTACTTACTTACTTACTTACTTACTTACTTACTTACTTACTTACTTACACCTGTTACTCCTCGTGGAGGACCATAGGCCTCCCATCAGCACACGCTATCCAACCCTGTTCTGGGCAATCCTTTCCAGCTCTCTCCAATTGTTATTCATCCTCTTCATATCTGATTCTATTTCCCAACGTAATGTGTTCTTTGGCCTTCCTCTTTTCCGTTTACCTTCAGGATTCCAAGTTAGGGCTTGACTCGTGAGGCAGTTTGATGATTTGCGTAATATATGTCCTATCCATTTTCATTGTCTTTTCTTAATGTCTTCTTCCCCTGAAAGTTGATTTTTTCTCTCCCAGAGAAGGCTGTTACTGATAGTATCCGGTCAATGGATGTTGATTATTCTGCGTAGACAACTATTTATAAATACTTGTACCTTCTTGATGATGATTGTAGTAGTCCTCCAAGTTTCAGCTCCGTACAGTAGAACTGTCTTGACGTTTGTATTGAAGATTGTGACTTTGATATTGGTTGAAAGGTGTTTTGAGTTCCATATATTGTTCAATTGTAGGAATGTGGCCCTTGCTTTGCCAATCGTCATTACAAGATTTAAAGAGTATGAAATTCGAACAGCCTGATTTTTTTGATAAATTCAAATGGGGTGATAAGATTTTCAAAGAAAAGAAATGGAACTCATCAGCCTATTTCAACGCTTTGCATCAGATGTTAACAGCCTGAAGTTATAATTAGTAATATGATTTTTAAAATATTTTACTTATCTTGATTAATAAAAGTGAGTTCAAGAAGATACACAAAATATATAGGAGAGTAACTTTATTGAAATCATGAACCGATCTAATTTAGACTATTATTGGGACTAAATTTGAGGGGAAATTCCTGAGGTTCTAGGAAAAGAGCTAATTCGTGAAGGCTGTGAATAAGTTACTCGTTGAAGACAATGTCGCGGATTGATTGAAGTTAGATGTTGACACCGTCAGTGATTTAGAGGTTAAATGGTTGCGCATGAGACCAAAGGCTCTGGATTCGATTCCCTTGTGTTGGGTTTCATGGGTGAACACATCTGAGGAGTCTCGTACTAGAACGAAACGGCCACTCAATACTTTCAGATTTTCAATGGTGGTCTAATATTGATCGATTCATAGTTTTAATGAAATTCAACACTCGATTCATTTCCTTACTGACAATACAGGAATAATATCATAAACAATAATTCAGCGATAAAATGAAAATTTTGTTTTTGATAGTATTTTTAATTGTAACTTCGAATTGTTTGTACCTAATGTGGCACCTTAACATAGAATTATGCAGTCATCACATTCTAGAAATCATGTCCTTCTCGGTTTATTTAAATGTAAATGAACAGTTGTTTTCAGTTAGATCGTCATCAGACTTTAATATACATGGATATTTATACGAACATCTACGAGTAAAACCTCGTTTTTCCAACTCCTCTAGGTGGACTCCCCATGTTCGCTTTTCGTCCTCTCAATTTCGTAAACAACATCCATGGAGCGATAAGACAGTGAGTAGGACTTCCCCGTCAGAGGCTATATACGCGTGGCCGTGTGAGAGCACTTTGAGAGGGCGAGACCTCCCCACTCTCGGCCGTACCTGAGCATTTGGTTGTGTACTATACGATGATATGGAATTTTCTTTCCATAAGTAATACCCAATAAAAAACTTAGTGTTAATAACTTTATTCATAAATCTATACAAAACTCTAAATTAAAAAAGTTACACATCGATTGATAATGTAAGGAATTGTGTTAATAAACTTGATTGATAGAATTTGTTATAACTTGTCGTTTTGAATACTGATTGTCTTGGCTATCATCCATTGATTAGTTAATATAATAGAGAGATCTGTATAAACTAGAGTAGTTGAGTCATAAATTCGTTGACTTTGCCATTGATTCTCTTATGCTAAAATTGTATAGGGTGAATCAAATTTTACAAAACTGAAGATATTATCTTGCTGTTGAATGTAATTTAGCATAAATCTTATAAAAGAGAATTTCATACTAATTATTTCTAGTTATAGTAATATGGTATTGATAAACTTTTACGTAATAACCTTATGTTACTAAAAAGAAGACTTCTTGGATGAATATTACATCATAATTTCAATGCTTTTTTTTATGGATTCTGTTTAAGATCTATGATACTACTGCTAATATATAGAAATGGTAACTACTGTAATTCGTACGACATGAAGTAAAAACACAAAGACTGGTGTAAATGAAAATTTATTAACAATTTTAATGGTTGAGATCATGAGTTGATTGAAGCTAGACCACCATGGAAAACTTAGAAGCACTGGACGGCCATTTCGTTCTATTGTGGGACTCCTCAGCAGTGCTCATCCACCATTCCGCCTCGCAACTTTGTTAAACCAAATTCATTCATTTAATATACTGATTTTATTCTCATTTAAGGATAAGTTTTAATGAATATTATGTTAATTAAAAGATACAAAAGTTTACTGTAATAATATAGACAAAGGTCATATAGAATAACATAAAGAATATAATTATTTAACGTGATAAAAATTCATACCTGTCATATTGAATGAACTTCACACTTAATTAATATATAACATACTGACCTAAAATAAGGCTATACTGAAAAATACGAGAACGATAAATTAATGTTATACTATATAAAATATTAGATTGAGACTGAGGAGTCCCATAATAGGACAAAACGGCCTTCTAGTGTTTCCAGGTTTTCTATCTTTGTCTAACTTTAATTAACTCATGATCTCAAATAATGAGATAGAAAAAAGTAAAACAGAATCACAATGGGAATAAAAATAAATATTATGAAACAGATAGCGGTTAGTTGTTGAATCTAGTATACGCGTTTCACTCTATTTTGAGACCCGTCAGCTGAATGTGCCTGGATTACATGATCAGCTACCATCCGTCTTTGCTTATAATACTTGTGATTTACTTAAGACAATCTTCACATAATGTACATATGGTGATAAGTGAGACAGATCAATTGCAATCTTAAACATCAATAAAAAGATTCTAATAGACGATATAAAAATGAATTGAACATTGTGAAATATTATACTGAGTTAGAAACAACATAAATTTATTTAATTATTTCAACTTTTATATATTGTATAGAATTAATGCCACTTATGAAATTCATATGAATCAACGTTATGGACGTGAAGCTATTGTACGCTGTGAATATACACATATAGATAATAGAACAATTTATCGTGAAACATTTCTACGTGAAGCAACAAAACCAACTGCACCAAATGTAAGCTATTATTATAACTATTCTTTACATTGATCTCTATATCTTTGATATTCATTTCATTTAAAGGAATTATGTAGTAGTGATGATATTTAAAATGAGCGTTTTTTACTCTATTTAACACTTGTCTACCAGATTTACTCTCACTCTAATGTTAGCAAACACGTTCATCCTCGAGCCTAATAGCTTTTACTTTAAGCATTTAATATTTGATTCTATGACCTACTGATTTTAGATAGCTATTAAGTGTATCAAATTTATTTTTAAGAGCTCATCTTTTTTTCTCATTCCCGGTAGTTAAAACTACATTTTCATCAGTTTTTTTGTTGAGATATGTGCATATGGTAACAGTTATCATTTGTAATTAATTTATTTTAGATTACTGTTTTATGTACTGGTCCACGTGCAATTGTATTCGGAATAACAAATCCCAAATTAAAACCTGACAATATGCCTACAGAACGTATTGTTACACAAAAGGTTATATTTGCACCTGCAAAAGTAAGTGAGTGGTAAATATCTATTTTGCGAATTGTTAATTTAAAACCTTTACAATTACTGATAAACAACTGTGGTTTGCTAAGGTCTTATGAAAAGAAATCAAAATTTTTATTTGAAGTCATCTTTTAATGGTAGGTAGTTTCTTGATCTTCTGACTTATATCATTTTCAATATGTCCAGTAACTGTTTAGTTAGTTGATCATAAGAACCTGGTATCTATGTGGATTGGTTTAAGCTGCTATAGTATATCAATATAGTTAGATGGAATCAACAACTCAAATATTGGAGTATTGGAAGTAGTAAAATCATCAGTGGTAGTAGAAAACACTAAGTATATTAAGACATGATTTTTAAAAAATGAATGAATTCCAAGGATGAACAGTATTTAATCATTTTATATCTTAAAATATGATGGAATTCAAAAAGTGAGCCATTGTTAATGGTTCTGAACTATGTCACTTAATGTATGAAACTGTTATTTACGAAAATTGAGGAGACTCTAACTTGGTAGCTTGCTTCTACCGAAACGTCTCAGTCCAAATCAATGGCCTTAAGTACTAGTGATACGTCTTGGTTTGGCCACTTACTATCGTCCCACCTATTCCAAATCAAAAAAAATTGAAATTTGCAGTATGCATTAGTTGAGCTTACGTAATACATGTCTCGACCACCTTAGTTAATGAAAATTCACTAACTCATCAATCAATTCACCATCTTTACCTGGTGCTATGTGTTTAACCTCAGCAATGCTCTTTCACTGGTTCCAGCAGATGTGAGTAATGCTTCCAAGAAATACTGGTCATCTCCAAATATCCCCTATTTTTAAACGCCACATTTCATCTCCATAAAATAGAACACAACAAACTTCTGTTTAGTATACTTATTTTTTTTGGCTAGCAGATAGATGTCTGACGTACTCCACAAGTGATGTGCATCATCGGAAACCAAGTAGGCTTTCTGAATTCGTTTAGTGACTTTGTCAGAAACCAATTTGTCATCGTTTCTGACGAAATCTCAGCTAGACAGTAACTCGAAGCTAGCCAATCTTCTATATGGCTAGAAAAAATGTCGGCAAAAGTATAATTCATATTTCTAACCCTCATATCAAATTGTTAATCCTAATCCTAAATCCTCATACTAATTTCTAATCCTCATTTAACCCTAGTAAGTTGGTCTACATTTTCAAGTTCATTTAAGCATTCCTCGAAGGTCGTTCATAAATTGCGATCTCACTACTGATGCTATTCGGAAATATCCTCTGTGAACATATCCAGTGAAGGAGAGTCAGACATTGTTTATGAAAAGCACAAATGTAGTAAAAGTTATCCATTTAAAAAAAGTGTAAAGTGAAAATGACACTTTCACATTTAGTAAACACTAACTAAATGATTGTAAATATGACTGAAATTGCTAAATATAGTAAACTTATTAAACATTGAAATAACATAGTCAGTAGTCTGAGTTTAAACTTTTTATTAATTAACTTTAAGTTTTAAAGATTTCATTTGTTTCTTCTTTATTTATTCATAGACATTTCATTTATCATCTACATTGGCAAGTTTATCGGTTTATTTAGATTCAGAAGGACAACCGTCTGCATCACCAGCTAATGATAATGATCCATTAGATAGAACTATATTAAATTCAATTAGTGCACAACCACAAACTGCTGTTATACCAGTGAAAAATTTAATACCAGATACGGAATATGTATTTGAATGGTCATCTGGTAATGAATTCGGTTTAAGTGTAATGATACAATTTACTTTATGGACTAAAAAACTTGAAACTGCACCAACAATTAAAGTGAGAGCGTTTTTTGTTTTTCTTCTTTTAGTTTCTCTATTCCTGTAGCTATCGTTGTTGTTAGTGTTTAAAGCAAAGGATTAAACTTGATCTGTACTGAGTGATTAGATAGTGTAGTTAAACCGTGTAGGGTGTTAGGCAGTTACTCAGCAAAATCAATTTGAGATGATTACGCAATATAGAGAACTGATTAGAGTTTGACACTAACACTGTTAGATCCCGGAATTCGCGCTAGACCGAAGGTCCTGAGTTATATCCCATCTGGTAGGAGTCTGCGGATGGGAATTGTTGAGGAGTCCTTACTGGGACGAACCGGATGTCCAATACCTCCAGTTTTTCAATGGTAATTTAACCTAGATCGGTTCATAATTTTGAATAAATTCAACACTCTCCACATTCATATACTGGTAAATATGACGTTGATCAGTATTCCTTGATAAGTAATTGTGATCATATCATTTCTATTGAAGGTCACTCGTGACTCAAACATCACAAAAGGTTCGAATGCAATAGGGACAATTAATTCCTTCGTGGTTATGAGTATGCCTTGCTGAACAATAATAACCATCATGAAACCTAAGTCTAGGATTTCCAGAAGACTGTCTACAACTAACTGATATTAAAACATAGTACATGAAATATCGGGTCTCAATATACACAAAGGGAAAAGCGAAATTCTCCGATACAACACAGCATGCACCAATCCAATCACAATTGACGGAGAAGATTTGGAAGATGTAAAAACCTTTACGTATTCGGGCAGCATGATTGATGAACAGGGTGGATCTGATGCGGATGTGAAGGCACGGATCGGCAAAGCAAGAGCAGCATATTTACAACTGAGGAACATCTGGAACTCAAAGCAACTGTCAACCAACACCAAGGTCAGGATTTTCAATACAAGTGTCAAGACAGTTCTACTGTATGGGGCAGAAACCTGGAGAACTACGAAAGCCATCATCCAGAAAATATAGGTGTTTATTAACAGTTGTCTACGCAAAATACTTCGGATCCGTTGGCCGGACACTATTAGCAACAACGTACTGTGGGAGAGAACAAACCAGATCCCAGCGGAGGAAGAAATCAGGAAGAAGCGCTGGAAGTGGATAGGACACACACTGAGGTAAGCACCCAACTGCGTCACAAGACAAGCCCTCACATGGAATCGTCAAGGCCAAAGAAGGTGAGGAAGACCAAAGAACACATTACGCCGGGAAATGGAAATAGATATGAGAAAAATGAACAAGAATTGGATGGAACTAGAAAAGAAGGCCCAGGACAGAGTGGGTTGGAGTAAGTAAGTAAGTAAGTAAGTAAGACTAGTGAACTTACTATCACTTAGTTGGTTGAAGTTGATCAGTGCTAAAGCACTAGACAAACATAAAATCAAACACTTATCAAGGATCAATCAATACCTATCAACGTTTGTAGTACTTAAAGAGAGACTGATTCTTATACTACTATTTACATCTTAAAGTAATGTATAACATTAAGTGTTATCAACCAAAAAATAAACTACTAAAAATAACAATGTAGGGAATAATAATTTTAAAAGTTTCCTTATATGATCAAGAAACATTTCACTTGGCAACACACAATACTTTACATTTTCATTCATAAACCAGACATCATATTTATTCAATCTCATTAATCATTCACAAGATTGCGTAATATGATTAATTCATAATTAGTGATAAATTATATATATTGACTATTATAAAACCTCATGGGGAAAATTATGTTCCATGTATATGTATTATATCTTCTAAATAATTCATTGTATATATATATTGATTTATTCATTACTATAAGGAAGGGATGTTTAGAAAGGAAAGTTTCCCTTAAAACAAAATTTTTAAAAAACAGTATTGTTTCAGAAACTAGGATAACATAAACATATAGATATAGTTGACGAATAGGAAATACAAAAAAAAAACGATGACAGGAAAAAACAAACTGTGTAGCTTGATCAATAATATAAAGACTATATAGCTATTTAGGTAGATAGAAAGAGAAATATAAAATGGTTCCGTTTAGATGAATTTATTCATTGAAATTTATTGATTAGAGTAGCTTAATTTTAGTCCATATAATCTTCGGTGTAGTCTTAAATTTAGTAAGTGTCAATAGCTCTTAAACATAAACATATAGATATGTCACTGATAGAGTTATATTGGATTTCGGTATAACAAAAAAGAAGCAAGAACAATTAAGGTATAGTACAGAGATAAACAGGAAATTTTCTTTAAAGATTTTGTATAAAATTCAAAATGTGTGACCAAATTTCATCAGATAAAATATGTGACGCAAAAGTACTGTATAGAGACAAAACAAACAAAATTAAAAAGTATCAGAAAGGGGTTTTTATGGAGATTGTAATGATTTCAATAGTTGAAATCATGAGTCAATTGAAGCTAGATCACCATGGAAAACCTAGAATCACTGGTCGGAGTTCAGTTGGGTCTGTTGTGAGATAGTAACTCACCGAAGACAATGGTGGATGTGTCGCTTAATTTCGTAGGTTGGTTGAAGTTAGACATTAACACAGTTGGATTCTAGCTGAGTGGTCTAGTGGTTAAGCGTTCACATGTGAGACTGGTAGGTCCTGGATTCAGATCGTGGGGGTGGATGCGCACTGCTGAGGAGTCTAACAGTGGGACGAAACGGCCTTCCAGTGCTTCCAGGTTTTCCATGATGGTCTAGCTTCAATTGACTAATGATTTCAACTATTAAAATTAAAAAGTTTTCTTTTACATTTTTACGCAAAATTCAAACAGCAGATATAACGACTAGTTACAATATATTCTTACAGATTTTTAGAATGTTTTGAATGATTATACAAATTCAAATCCCTAATTCTTTGTATGTAGATTTATATAATAGACTAACGAAGACTGTCAATAAATCCCAACCCTAAACACTCAATTCTGAAACAATTTTTTTTTCCTATTGGCTTAATATTTGATTGAAGAAATAATCAGATAGAATCTATCTATCCATATAGATACAAAGTAGTTGCGAACTTCAATTGATTTCAGTTTGTGATGAAAACTCTCCTTTTGAATCCCGTGATTCTAGTCATTAATCTCAAATCCTCACCAAAAACAAAAAAGACAACGTGAGACTTTTAAAAGTCTACCTGGTATACTATGCGAGTTTTAGAAGACTTAAAATTAACTTTTGAAGGTCTTTAATATAGTCATTAGCTTTGTAAAATCTATTTACACTTTATAACATTATTGTTTTCTTGTCTATAAACTGAATGAAAATCCATTGACGTTAATTTAATCTTGTCCCTATACTATAGTTAGCTAAAATAGTCACATATATACTTCATAACGTTTGAAATTGTTAGTAAAACGTTTGTTTGTCATCACCGAACTACAATGACAATCTTAAATATATAGGGTCTTCTCTATTTTACTTATTTATTCTGGATAACAAGTGAATGAACAAGATTTTTTTTTCAACAGTCGAGATCATGAGTCAATTGAAGCTAGACCACTATGGAGAACCTGGAAGCATGGACGGTCGTTTCGTCCTATTGTGGAACTTCTCAACAGTGCTTTCAAGTTTTCCATGATGGTTGAGCTTCAGTTCACTCATGATCTCAACTACTGAAATTACAAAACCCCCTCTGATATTAATTTATTTTGTTCATGACAAAGAAATCATTCTGTTAGTAGTTCACCAAAATAGGAATGCTGAAATAGTTAACTATCTCTATGCATAACCTCTTAATGTCGATATTCATATAACTATCATTGCCTTTATTTAATTTTCTCAAGTCTTCTGAAAATTTATTAATCAATATGATGAATTCTTTATAAAACTATTTATGGTTGTGTAAAAGATCCAGACAAAAAAATCGTTTAGTATGGGTAAACTCTCATCCGGATCAATGATGCCACATGGTGATATTATTGTAAAAAACAAGGGTTATGAAAACTAATAATCAACATTTGAAAATCAATAAACTTTATAAAACCACTAAATTTTAATAGTTTTTTATAACTTCTATTGAGAAATAGTGTTCATTTATGACAGGTAGGTTCTTTGCTGACTAGCTAAAAAGAAAATCATACGATCGTTCTAGTAATTATTTAAGATTCCCTTTACAGTATACCTTGATCCTAGTATGCAAAATAAACATTTCGTTTACAAAAATGCTTAGTTACTAGTTTAATCTCTGGTGTTAGTATTTAAATTTTAATAATTAACTGAATTGGTAATTGAGTTTGTAACCGTAATATACCAAAAACAATTGAATTAGACGATGAACCTGGTTTGTACGAATAGATATGTTCTTTCATCAATCAACTGTTTTCTGACATCTAACGTTTCCTATTAGTGTTTATTGTCATTTTAAACAATATTAACACTAACTGAAACTTAAAAACTAAAAACTTGAATATGAGGATAGACTAATTTTATTCTAGGATCAATATTTATGTAAGCACTTGAAAACTGATGAATATCCTGATGAACATTTAACTCTTTAATTAATAGGATAAACTCTATTAGAATTCTCGATCTTTTCATTCTACATACATCTCCTCTAAAGGATTAGATAATCCAGTCATTAAATGTGAAACTGTTCAATATTGGAATGATTGATGACAATGTTAATAAACAGTTGTTTAATGGTGCTTAATTTTCAGTTGCAACCAAATTATCAGCTAGTTAGCAACAAAGTAGAACGTCGTACGTATGTACATCAGTTCAAGTTGCCATATCACATTAGCACAGAGATGCAGTTGTCGATTCAAATCCCATATTGGTAGAGGCAGTAAAAGTATAAGTAGTAATCGGAAGGATTAGGGTTTGAAGACGTTATTCAAGGAGTATATTCCAGTGGAATAACTTTCGAAAGAGGAAAGAAAAGGGAAATGAAGAATTCAGAAGATTAGAATTTAAGAGAACACAAAGAGTGGATGCACCTACGCCATTTTAAACGATTTTGACCCATGTCATTCAAGATTTGTAACCATCAGTTGCTATTGTCTCGCGGATCCCAACCAAACTGAAGTCAATTTGTGTCGAATACTACCGAAAATTTTTTCACTTATATCAAACTCATTTATACTTCTTATTAGATTATCATTCTAGATTAGTGGAAGAAGAGAAAATTGATCATTAATGAGTTCAAAAGAGATCCTATTACGCAGAACTACATCTTAGTCTAATTGAATATCTTGATTATTTCATGCAAATCGGTTACTTCAGATATCAATATATATATATTCCATCTTCAATTTTCTTCAGCAATTGAATTCACTAGTAGTTTCCAGTAAAATAATTAGAGCATGAATGAATGAATTATATTCTTTAAATATATACATTAATGGTCATTTCTAATAATGTCCCTTCATTGATTGATCAATAAAACTTTTATTTTTTGATTGGATGAAATATATATTAGATATTTGACCATGATCATTACCTACCTATCTACCCAATAATAATAATAGTAACTAGGGTATATCCATTTCATTTCTAAAATCCATTACATTTCTACGGTAAAAATATAATAATTACGTTCATAATTATTGAGTCACATTAATTTATTTCAAGTTGACTGTACCGTTTATACAGACACATCATTTGACTTGCGCCCTCAGCTAGATTTTCAATAAATCCCTTAAACACATAAACCAGTAACGGTCCTGTTATGACTTTATGTTGCAGTCGATTTTTACCCTGTGCTAATTGTTGTGTCCTTGACTGAAGAGATTAGAGAACAGCGTATTTATCGATCGATCCAATGACACGTAAACACGTACGGACGGCCTAGAGTCTCGATTGGTCCCACTTCCCTGTCTAGCCCAGTTAGTTGAGTCCAGAACACAAGTCACAGCCTCGGAGATATGAATCATTATATTTCAAGCATACTCTATTTATATACTAACCAAGCATACCACATCGTACCATAAAATAGAAAACAACATTTGTACAATATTCAACAAGTGAACAGATATCGACCAATAGGAAATGTCCATTTAAAGTCCAAGGACACCATTGGACTTAACATGATAATTATTGGTCTATTCCTCCGCATCCACAACAGGTCCTAATGTGCTCACACTCAAAAGTGAATTTTACATTATTTGTACACAATAATAATAAGCCTTTAAGGGTTTTAATAGGAAATGGTAATGAAAGGTTATTCAATGAGATATAATCATACAAAATGTCAATAGTTTTCCTATGAGGTACATTTGTAAATAAAGCGTTCACATCAAAGGATTACATTGTCTTTGTCTTTATATTCATTTCCTTTCAGTACTTAATTAATCCAAATGATTTATTATCCATAATGGTTATCACATTGTTTTCGTGTACTTTATTTTTCTTTGTTACGGCTTACCTTTAACCTGTCTTGTTGACCTGTTGATTTTTCATATAAAATGTCTTAATAAGTATATGTGTGATCAGATTGATTTGGAAATGTATTGCGCAAATATATAACATAATTCTGATAACCTTCCTCTTCTCATTGCATTATCGAAAAATAATACAATAAGGTGTTGAAATTGAATAAAACATTGATAACTTTTTTGGACACAATAATTAAATATAGGTGTCATTACCATGGTTTGACTTCATAATTTCGAATAAATCGAGCATTGGATAGATTGTTATAAATAAATTAATATATTTGTAATATCCAGATAAGTGGAAAAATGAGATGTTCTGACGTTTCGTGACTTAGTGTAAGCCACTTCTTCAGAGAATAAACACATCAAATTAAAATTAATCCACGTTTAGATAGTACAAAGGAACAATGATATAATATTCTTGTTGTTCCTTTGTACTATTTGAACGTGGATTAATTTTAATTTGATGTGTTTATTCTCTGAAGAAGTGGCTTACACTAAGTCACGAAACGTCAGAACATCTAATTCTTCTAATCATTTGGATATTACAAATATATTATTTATTTATAACAACAGTCAACTGTTCAAAATCTTCTTGTTATTCATAACAAGTTATTTAGTCTTATAGGTTAATACGATAATTGTTTACCCTGAATAGTAGTATTTTTTTAAAAAGAAATGGTTTAAATCACGGACTGACTATATCAGGGCAATCATTGAAACCAGGTGTTTCATCATTGTATGAAATTCTGTAGAAATGTACATCAACATATTCACCCTGAGTACTTTCTGTTTTGAGTTAACAGTCAAAATTACTTTTAGCACACTTTTTAAGCTGCAATCCAGTAGTTGCAATTTCTAACCAGTTACTGACATTGTAGTATGTGCTACTTATGTCGACATAAATAGTATGTAACGCTAGTCAGAAATAGAATGTCTTGCAGCAGAAGGTTGAGAAGATCGAAGAGGAAAGAACGGGAACAGAAAGCAATCGGTATAGAAATGCAGGAACAATAAAATCTGAGGCAATTAATCAAGATTTTGCGAATGAAGTATTGGAGTATGGTTTTTCTATTTTATCACGTAACTCTGTAATTTTATGCTGAATATAATCGGTTGTCCTCACCTGTGTTCTCCTTCACTACAATATTATTTTATTTGGAAATAGTTAAATTAATTCCCAGTAGAGCTATTTTTCATATACTAAGAATTATAATAAAATACTATTATATTGAGCAATGATGGACTGTGGCCAGCAGTGGAATTCAAGACGCGCGTTTCATCCTATCTCGGGCTCGTCAACTATAAGTACCTGCATCTTGCAGTTAATGCTCACTCTGGGACCAGAACCCAGTACCGTTCGCTCCAAACGCCATTGCATTATCCACCAAGCTACTGACTCCTAATAAGCACTAGCTTGTGCAATGAGATGAAGCTTAATTAATTTTTGTATTGGTATATATACATTCTGTGCGGAGACTGATCAATTCCGGTCCTAAACATCAATGGGATGATTCAAACAAACAGTACAAAATGAATTAAAATATTATGATAGTTTTAAAAACAGTAATAAAAGTGAATGGGTATTTTGTAACTAGTTTCCGAATTCATACAAATACTCCATTTTATCTTTCACATAGAATACAATAGGAAGTTCTTTAACGTTTAACTTAATTATGGTTGCATAATTGTTTCTATATGTTTATTATTAATAATTTATCCTTATGTTTATTTTTGTAATAGAATATTGTATTCTTGAGTCCTACATCTCAATATCTTCGATTTTCTACATTTCTGGGTGATCCATGCCCATATGAAGGTGGTGCAAGACCAGAACTATCAGATTTATTAGTTAGATATCGTTTAGCTAAATCTAATTCTACTTATGATCCGACACAATTAATTGGTTATGGAGATTGGTCTGATGTGGAAGTTTGTAAAAATTTAGCTTCAGCATCAACACTTGATATAAATTATTCAAATAATAATCAAAATGATAATATTGAAAATTTTAATGTTGTTGGTACAGAAGAAGATGAATATACTGGCATTAAATGGGCTGGTGATAATCCAATACCATGTGAAATACCAGTACCAGATACCCAAGTAATTTATGAAGTAAGTTTAAAAGATTTATTTGTAAAGGTTTATAAAAGCTATTGCCTATTTGTACTCAATAGGTACTGTGTTAACGTTTAGAGCGAAAGGTACCGGTTTCGACTCTTCTAGTGAATATCAACACTGAAATGCAGGTATATTCAACTGAAGTATTCAAAACTTACAAAACATTCGTCTTGTATTCTATTGTTAGTTACTATCCAACTTAATTAAATTATTTTAGACCAGTTGGGTTTCATAAGTAAAGATGGATAGGAGCTAGCAGTGGAATCCAGGATGCGCGTTTCATTCTATTTGGGACTAATCAGCTGGATGTACCTGCATCTCAGAGTTGATGTTCACTCTGGGATTCAAACTCAATACCGTTCGCTTCTAACGCCATCGCGTTATCCACTTAGCTTATAAAGCTTGTGACTTCAGGCAATTTCGAGGCAGTTCGCACAGGATGCATATATGCCATCAAGAGACCGATCGATTGCAGTCCTAAATGACATTAGGAAGATATAATTAAACAACACCAAGTGAATACAGTTGGGTCTTTTTAAAAGACAAATAAGTTTCGTCGAAGTATTTGCAATGATAAATAATTATTTATCTATAAGTTATGCATTATATCTGAACAAATCTTGTACAATACATGTATGTCAATATTACCGAGAGCATATTCCACACTTTATACACATAAACACAGTACTACTGACAAATATCAGGAAAAATTATACGAAAATTTATATTGTAATAATGTTTGTTTTTCTCAAATATTACCAAACATTTCAAACGTATAATGACTTTAAAGAGGAAGAATGTATTTGTAAAATCTCAGCGAATAAATTTGAAGTAAATCCAACGTTTCGCCTGGCAATCTGATCTGAAAGATGGTTGCCCAATTTTGTGGATTGGTTGAGGTTAGATATTAACACCGCTGGATGCCAATTCCGTGATCTATAGGTTAGGCGTGAGCACGCGAGACCAAGGCTCCGGTTTCGAATCACGCCAGCGGGATCGTGGATGTGCACTGCTGAGGCGTCTCACGATAGGACGAAATGGCTGTCCAGTGTTTCTAGGTTTCAATGGTGATCTAACATTAATCGGTTCATGATCTCAATCAAAAACATGTATTCTTTCACAAAATCAATCTAATCACCTTACAACACCTCGGTCAAAAATGAAAGTAAAAACGTTGACCAACTTAGAGCCAAGATGTTACCGTATAATGGGGTAAAATGAATTTTAGGTATTTTGAAACATCTTTTTTTTTAAAATAACAATTGTCTATTCATTTGTGAAAATATTTAAGCTGGATTTGATTACAAACTGGGATCAGATAGGGAGCTAGTGAAAACCTAGTTGCAATTAGATATTGTTAGTTATTTATAGTGAACTAATTGAAATTAAAAATCAGAATCAATCAGTTATAATCAATGTAAATCATGGTATAAATGTGAGTTATTGTGTTAGTAGCCCCATTTGATATACGTCTGAATATTTCATTTAACTATTAACAGGTTTTCAATTGATGTACACTCATTCTCGGTTTATTTGCATCATATTTAATCTTATATTTTATACGATTGACTATCTAACTGAACGTCTAAATAATCTGCATTGTGTTTGTTTGTCGTGCTGATTATATATATGCATATACTTCCTGACTGTTTAGAGTTGCTCTCTTATTAATCCTACAGGTTGTTTATGATATACATTTCTATAAATCTCCCTATTTGACTCTTAGTTTTGCGTTATCTGTGAGTGTTAGATGCTTTTAGATCACCAAAGATTGAGTGGCAAAACAAAATAATAGCTTTGGAATTCAGGTCAAACCCCAAAGGGTCACCTCAAAAAGCCAAGTTCACTAAATCACATTAATAAGACAAGATCATGTAAGCAAGATAAATAGCAAACATGTCGAATTAGAAATAGTAGTGGTAATAGTAATGATTAGGTGTTGTGCTCATTACAAAGTAGAAATATCTTAGACTCTATCAATTCTAGCTACAGGTTCATATTAAAATTGGCTTCAAATTTTGAATGAAAATAATGTTTCTGTTTTAAATGATGAGAAACTAACATTACCTCTGGGATTGGTACCCCGGCCACCTAACTTCATAGTACGAGACATTATCACTTATCTTTTCAAGTAGGACTGACAGATATAACATAAATTACCACCCAGTCATTAATCAGTGTGAATATCTCAGTCCTATAACTAAGTTGAACAAATGTATGTCGTATGGCTTAGACAACTTGCAATTGATATTGTAGTCTTAACGTAGTCTTTCATTGCTTCCCAGGTTTTCTACTAACCTTTTTTTATTTACTATGTAGTTGCAATGGAAATTCTCTTAATTTGATTTGCGAAATTGTCGGAATTCGTATAGCAACTACTTTTATTCATAAGTGTATACATATCTAACACTTTAAGTTGAAAATATTCAAGTAACCTTAGGTCAAACCAATATGGATACTATATCAACAATTATGTGGTATCAGAAGGGGTTTTGTGAAGATTTTAGTAATTTCAGTTGTTGAGATCATGAGCCAATTGAAGCTAGACCATCATGGAAAACCTGGAAGCACTGGAAGGGCGTTTCGTCCTATTGTTAGACTCCTCAGCAGTGCACATCCACACCCCACGATCCGAACACAGGATCTATCAGTCTCGCACGCGAGCGCTTAACCACTAGACCACTGAGCCGACCGGAACCCAACGATGTTAATGTCTAACTTCGACAAATCCACGAAATTGAGAGACGCATACACTATTGTCATCAGTGAGTTACTATCTCATAACTGACCCGGTTGAACTCCACTAGTCACTGCTTCTCACTAAACTCCAGGATATACATCTTGAAGCCAGTCACTAGTTAGTAAATGCTGATTAGTATCAGAAGGGGTCTTTTGGATATTATAGTAATTATGTGGTGTCTAAAAACTGAAGACTTATTTTTCTCGCTCCTTTTCTGTATATCATTAAATGTAGTAGAAAAATATGAAACTCTATTTTGTAAGAGAAAATAATCAACCAATTATTTTCAATATCAAGCGTATATATTGAGTTTATTTTATCCCAATGGGAATTTCATAATAAAATTGAACTTTCATCCTCTAACATTAACGATTGAAGTATGATTCGAAAACACTATTCAATTATTAGATTAATTGAAAATCACTGTTCATAAGTGATTCTGTTGGATTCTTCATAATGGTGTGTCAGGTACCCCATAAGAATATCAATACTTAGATGCAAGTATATTCAACAAACGAGTCCCGAATACAATCAAACAAATGTCCATCATCTTAATCCAATAGCAGTTCATCCATTGTACATAATAATATATAATTCATACAAACGCCACATCTGCCACAGCTTAAATGAGAATCCAAAATTCTGCAGTCAATTGTCCCTCTTCTCCTTAGGTTCATCGTGCCTGTCCGATCGTGTACTGAATGTAGACTCTGTATGATCTAGAATATGCTCATAAGCATTAGGATTAACAACCCAAATCGAAACGAACTCACCTGGGTCCTGGGATTGTATACAAACACCATTTCGGTTGTGTAATGAAACCACTGATATCTAGAATTTGAACCATAGATTTTCCAACACTATCCTACCCTACGAAGTAGTTTTGGATCTTCATATTCCCAAGTTATGAATGTTGTGGCTTCATTTAAAACATAATTCTCATACTGATTAGAGTGTTCATTAGAAGTGACTTCATGATAAGGAGAAACAACAGTTGATATGAAATCATCAGAGTTGTAATCAAGATCGAGTTCATTTAGGACTCGTGCTTTGCATTGAACAAGTTCTCTACAAGAAACAAATGCATTGTGAAGACAAATAACATTTGATATGACATCAAGATTTGAGTTTTCTGAAGTGTTTTCCTCAAATTCATTAAGAATGTAATTGGAGGGTGATGGATCCCTAGAAAAATCAGAATCTATCAAAACTGTATCAGGTTTTCAATCATCATTTGATTCACTCAACATGTTTTTCTCAAATTTGTAAGAAATTTCATCAGAAATATGTGAATCATCAGAACAAATCATATCTGGTACAATAACATGAGAAATATGATAAGTTGATTGATTAGGAACTTTTGTTTCACAAGGATTCGGAATTTCATTTAACTCTGGTTTGCTATATGACCCTATACTGCTTTTCGAAGTCGTGGATAAAGATGAATGATCATTAGAAGCACCCAACTTAATAGGATCACAATAACGAATTCTAGCATTTGTTCCAGCTAAATGAACCGTATCCAATCTTATCACATTTAAATCATTTAAAATTACGAAATACACAGGAATTAAATGGGCGAAACCTGTCACAGGACAAACATTGACAAAACTTGTGTCCATCTTCGTCAACTGTATCGCAACCCAATGAATCATCTGTATTACTTTGAGTACGCACTGGATTGGGATGACGTAGTAATGTAGTAGAATTTTTGATGTCCTGATGAATCATTTTACTAAAATTTCCTCCTTTACCGCGTTCGAAATTTGTATAATTGGCATAGTCTAGCAATAGTTACTTGAGAATTGCATAAAAAAGCGAAATAGGCTTTTCTGGTAAAGCCAGAATTTTTAATAAGCTGTATGCTTCTTTTCCGATGAATGTGAGTAAATGTGCCATAATATTAACATCCTCAACATCTTCCTTGATCATAATTCAGATTTCGAATCTTTCCAAGTAATCCTCAAAAGCATCAAAATCTGAATGTATGTCCAACCATTCTATCACATGCTTCATCGCAACGGCAGTGTGATAATTAGAAGTATTTGAATTATAATACAAACCAGGAATCCCACAAAATAACGCAATTTCACCAAGAAGTATTAGATAAGCACGAATGAACGTATTGTATTTGGTATTTGAAATCAAAACAGTCAACAAGTACAAAGGATTCATTAGTTCATACAAACACCACAAAGATCCAGTATTTCATATGATGGTTTTGAAGGTGTTGGTTGATTTAATTTGTTATAATTCTATTATAAAAGTCTCCTATTAGTTTTATTTCTATCGTATGTAGTTCTCATAAAAGTAGTTTGATCATATTACCAACTCAATAATTCTTTCTTTTCTATATAATTTTTCTAGATTGAAGTTGCGACAAGAAATCGATTTGAAAAATCTGATTGGTTCAAAACATTCTATCGTCCAAATGCTGTTGTATCAGCTGCATTATTCTGTTATCCAAAATGTTCAGCTATTATGTGTAATCTTTCTGGAATATTCATAATTCTAATATTTCTATGCTCATTTATTCATTATTTATAACAAAATGAAGCCAATCCATTCAATTTTTGATGTTAATTCCATGAATTCAAAAGAAAGACAACAAAAATAAATGTCATCAGTCTCAAATATACTTACATTGTCCAATTATACATGAGTGTATTCAAGAAGTGGTAATGTTCCTTTATGTTTTTGCATCAAGTTCATTTTTGAATATTTCAAACATAAACCTTTTTTTTTAAAAAAAAACAGCACTTCATGCATTTAATTTTGAGAAGAAAAAAAAGAAAGGAAAAGTACCCAAAATACCGAAACAAATAAAATTCATTTATCATGTAAAATATAAAAACTCACCTGAAATAGTTCTATATAAGGGAATCAGCATTCTTTATGTTAAGCATTTATTTTATCTATATTAAGCATGCTAATTTTAACCAAAAAATAATAATAATAACCCCTTGAAAATTTTAATTTATTCTTATTTTTTAACCAGAGTTCTTTTTTTGTTGTTGTTTAGCGTATCTTTTATCATTTACCATTATTATTAGTATAGTTGAGCTACTGTCTCATTTTTTTGTATAGATAAGATTTGAGTAATAAACATTTAACTACTGATAAGTAGTATGAATCACCGAAGTAAATTTATAAGCTGTTATTAAAAGTTTCTGTTTGGTAACTGGAAAATCCATGTCATTTTTGTTCTTGGTCTTTTTTTTGGAAAAAAAATTGCAGGTATAAATGATTGATATCATTGTTTATTCACTTTCTTAAGTTCCAGGATTTTTTTCTCGCTTTATGCATGACTTTTCGTGAACTCTTTCTTATTGAAATATACTCTGTTAATGGGTAATCCTACAGTTAGCATAATAAAAATATTTCAATTTTTTAGTCATTTTGCATTAAATTTATCAAACTGATGAATTGCCAAGCAAATTTGTTCTTTATCTTTGTACTCAATGATTAAGAAGAAATGAATCAAGTAGGAACTATAAAACAATCGTTCTTGAATATGTATTTAAATAATTGAATTAACTAACATGTACAGTGGTACTAAACAACTAAAGTCCAATAGAAATGACTAAACGCAATTGAACTGAAATGATATTTCTTTAATGAAGATGAGTGTGTATTGATGTTTAATGAAATATATATGTTAAATTAACTTTATCGAAGTATTCTAAACGATGTAATAAGTCATTTGGCTTCTTATAGTTTCCATAGTATTCATTTGTTTTCACTGATTTATGTGAGTGTATATTTAATGTTCCGACTGGTTAGACATAAATGCACAGTGTTAAGTGAATCAGTCAATAGTATTGTGTTGGTTTTGCGGAAATAAATTACTCAACATTAGCAATAAATTAGTCTGTGGATCTATCAAAAACAACATATAATCTATAAACGGATTATTATTATTATTATTATTATTATTAGCTTTATTCAATATTATAATTTTGGTACAATATAGAATTCTCAGCGCAAAGTATTTCAACAAGTTTCCGTTTCTTTCTTCTTGGTCGGTCCTGGCGATAAATATTGAGGAATCGCCAGTTAGATGTTAGCACTTCAGTGAATGAACAACTGAATAATGTACATTCTTTTCGTTGTACATTGCCAGCAACCATATTGTCTCTTATTGAGTTTTCTGTAACTTTGACAACGAAAGGTTGTACACTTTTCAGAAACGTTTCAGAATAGGTTATGCGATTAATAAACATAATGATATATTAAAACAAACAATAATAGATAACTTGTTGAAATATCTAGATGGCAGGAACAGGTAGCCCAGATGCTCAAGCAGGCCGCCCAGATGTGGTTGTGTAGACTCAAAAGTGCCATGAAAACATTTGAATGGAAGGGCAACAGAAGATGTAGAGACCTATCATGTTAAGCTACTGTATTGCATGAGCTGTAAACTATATTCAGACTTTTTTTATTTTGAACTTTCCTTGTCAATCGTCATTAAGATTTGCATGTTAGGTGGTTCTTCCTAGTTAGTCTGCTGCTGACGTTTTTGTGGGAAATACATTAAATCATGAAATTTCCTGGTGTGGCCTTCTGATAGCGTATTGTTAGCAACAGATGTTCAATGTTACCGGTCACAGAAGGTATACGAAATTTTTTTGAATCGTTCTCTATGCGATTCTGCATCTCACATTAAACTGTTATTGACACAGACACCACACTGACTTTCAGGTGGTAATTTTTACGCTCTACACTAAAGACAGTTGAGCACATGATAATGTTATTTTCCATATTTCTAACTCGATGTTTAAGAATATATGGATTACATATAAACTCGAGTACAAAAGTTCGTGCATGTATATTTAGGTGATGGTATCAACTAACAAGTGCAGTAATAATGAACGGGATCAAAACTTAATATACAATTCAGTGGACAACTAGACTGGAATAATAGTAGAATTAGAATTAGGCCTCTCTTTAAATAACCGCTCTAACATCTAACGTACGCAAATGCGTCTCAACTGCTCAAAGTGTCGCCTAGTCTTTGTGTCTTAAATATATAAAGACCACAGTCACACGTGACCGTTTACAAGTGCAGAAATCATGTGGTGGCCAGTCTCAACGGAACTGGTCAACTCACTTTTAATAACAAAGCACCAAGCGAATAGGCAAACCACTCATTTCCCCTTTAACAACGTAGGAGAAGCAAGAGGTAAATTAGGTGGGATTAAATAAATATGCTCCCAGTTGAATTAGAATATCATAGTTCTAACAGAAAAATGGTCCACGATATGAATATTAGACAACGAAGTGATCATGCGAGACATGACGTTTTCCAATGAAATAAAACATAAAAGATGGAAAATGGAAATAACTGAACATGCTGAAGTTGCTTTACCGCAGACAACACAAGGTACTTGACTGAACAAAAATACTGGCACCCCACAGGTTCTAACGCCCAGAAGTTATTTATTTGTCTGAACACATAAAGATTGGTACAAGAGGGTATCAAATATATATACACCACACAATAATAATGAAGCCAGTAGCACTTATTACTAATTTGTATGAGGGCTGTGATACTGTCCGGGTGCCCAATCAAAAGTAGTTAGGTTTGTAAAGGAGCTAATCTTCAAACTTTTGACCTTCGGGTTTAATCCACAAAGCAGTGAAGCGACGTTAGGAGAATAAGTCTCATGCTATTTTGTGGCCAACAATATGTTCATACAACACTTGCTCCCATGTGAGCCAATGACTTGGAATTGTGGCTTTCCAACTCAACTTGGTGGATCCTCTGTACACACAACCAAGTTAAATCACCGGACATCCGCTTTTCGTCCTCTCAGTTTCGTCAACAACACCACCCCACAATGAAAAAGCAGGGTGTAGAACTTCCGTGGATGTGGCTGTATACTAGTGGCTATGTGCAGGCCTTTTGTGAAGGAGGTCGAACTCTCTCCACCCTTGGCCATACCAGGGCATTTAGAGGCAACGCCTTAAAAGATAAGATAACAGAGGTGGTATGACAACTATCACATCCAGTGTTCGACTAGGTACTAATAGCTTGATTTTTCACATTCCATCGCTCGATCTCAATACACGGAATACAACTTCCACTGAGTGGGCCTGTCGGGGCTAATTTCCCTTATATCTGACTCCAATAAATAGTATCCAGTTAACTCAGTATTTAATGCAGGCTAAATCTCCTAGTAGAATTGTGGATTTACTAAAGAGATTATTCAAAGGCTTGAACATCAGTTATAGAGGCAGTTTATTGTTAAAGATTGGTAAAATCCACAAGTATATAGGAAGCATACACACAGTGAAACCAAGAGTGTGAGTGTGAGTGTTAAAATCCATATATATTATGAGTGATAATCAAGTATGTATAAATTATTGATTTTCTGTGTATTACAACCAATGGGAGAATAGATTAAAAATTGATATATGCTCAATCAGACTCTCTTACATGGTTCATTAAGTGTCTAAACTACAGTGAGCAGATAAATAATGGACTAGTCGAATGGACCTACTACAGCCCAATTAGCGACTTTTCACAGCCATTAAAAGTTCGAGACTGACTAAACATGTGGGCGACTACACTGAATGTGGTATGGACGGATATACCCAAAGATCATACTGTTTACGTACAACCAGCTTCCATCAGCTTCTAGTCGACTGTGTCCATGATCAAGTACCAAAAAGAAGTGGTAACCACAGAACTATCCTATTTAACCTCATCACAAACTATATGCTTCTGAGGGACATGAATACTTCCATATTTTCTACGACTATAAGGGAGTGCCTTTAATAGCCGCGATTACCAAAAAGTGGTGGGGGCCAATAAGAGTTAATGAAGTATATTATCGTACAAACTGTGGTTCAAATAAAATGCACACCTGTAAAGGGGTGACCCTGGCTGAGGAGAGGAATTGAATGCTTGCCACAGCCGAAACTGAGAGACTACCGCAAAGGGAAATTTTCTCTGAAGGATTCTGACAGTAACATTTAGAAACAGATGCGATACCAAGGCTTGGAACGACAGGAAGCACTTCGTGACTAATCCAGCAGCCGAAGTATAGACTAAACTAAAATGTTTCGATGTGCTTATGACTTAACAAAAACCTACAAATCAGGAAGTATTGCCCTTGCAGAATTCTTGTCTACTTCAATATTAGTACTGCTCCAATAATACACCCAATCCTAAAATTGTAGATTTGTCATGATGTAACAGCCCAATCTATAAGATCTTACGTGGAAGTCACATAATTGTCTACCCTGACTCATTGTATTATAACAATCATCAAAATATAATGAAGGACACGTTTAGGCTAGAGATAGGACAATATTTCTTCTGATAGCATAGGACTACCGCTCAACGATATGTTTGACAGATTTACTGTTCGGTGAATTTCTTAACGTCTTTATTTCTCTTGAAATAAGATAACAATCTCATACTTGATGTTGGAAGAAAACTCACTTTAGCTGAGTAACATTTCGAAAAAGACCTTTATCGGTTGCTAATACACGTGATGAATATGAGAGAAAATTATCTAGGTTGTGCTAAATCATGATGAAGACGGCGGAAATTTCTTACTGAAGTCTTGATTTACTTGTTTAACTTACTCACAACAGCAGTAAAAATCCTTGGAAAGGTCGCGCTAGTCGTGAACTTCTACCTTTCGTATGGCTTTGTGTTCAGCAGCTTATGTTTTTGTAAGTATGCTACCCATAACAACTGATTTTTTGCTTTTGGATAAAAGTAGTTGCCCAGAAAATATTTTTCATAAGTAGGCAAATTTGTTTTGTAATAGAGATGATCTATTTAGTGAACGTATACTTTTACAATATGTCTGAATGAACATACGTTTGTCTCTCATCATAAACCCTTAGAGTTTTGTGGTGAGTTGACATATCTTGGTAATATTTTTACCGCTATGTTTTACAAACAGCCTTGCAATATTCCGTCCCAAGTCATATGCAAATGCTAATAAAGTAAGTTTGGACAGATCGTATAAGCAAGTAAATGAGTCTGGTTATGTAGTCCGGTTCGTGACAAAATCCTTAAGTGCATCACAAGAATAAAACGCTACTAACCAAGATTCAAATAAAATTTATTTTTATCAATAATACTCGTCAAACTGCTTCTAACAAATAAGCGCTCTATGACTTATCTATTCCAAAATCGACTTATTTAGTTTTACTTAATAAGTGTTCTCTGTGCACTTGTACTCAGCTTTTGATTTAACCCAACATTTATCAGAGTTTTAAGAAAAGTATTGTGGAACGACACATGCGAGATTTTGCGTCATGTTTGCCTGCTTAGTTCTGAGTCTGTTTGATTATACCATTTCTAGGAACTTTTATAAACCAACATTTATCAACTAGGTACTGCTATTTTATATTCCGGATCTCCACATTACAGACTTATTGCCTTTCCACCTTCCATACCAATCCAAGTTGACAAATACTACGCCATATGGAAGTCCCCAGATTGGTATACGTAAAACAAATTAGGGTCATCTAAGTCAATACTTTGAGACTGTATCACATTGAATCATCACTTCCACCTAACAAACATATACAATAATACTCGTTTCATCTAAAAACGTTATCATATTCGAGCAGTCGTCAATTGTTATAACGATCAGGTTTCCACTTTAACACGTATGGGACGTTAATTTACCTTAAACGAATATCTGTACCAGATTCCCTCTCA